GGCTTTGGACTCTGTGGACTGAAACTGCTTTGCTACCAACTGGCTCTGTGACCTAAGTCTTGTTTAGTCACTAAGTTGTGTCCAACTCCTTTTCGATCCCACAGACTGCAGCTTACCCAACTCCTCTGTCCATGGAATTTTCCAGGGAAGAAGACTGGAGCGAGTGGCTATGTGCTTCTCCAGATCTTCCTGACCCAGGGGTCAAACCCATGACTCCTGCACTGGCAGGTAGATTCTTTACCACTGAGCTACCAGGAAGCCCGTGACCTGAGTCTATTCACCCATAAAATTGAATTCAAATGCCTACCTCACACAGCTGACTAAATATGAGATATAAAACAACAAAAATAAAGTTTAGCTTTGAAAAAACCATCAGAGATAAACATTTGAAAACTAGTGTGTGGTCTTCGGGAGGTGATCATAAGAATTGTTAGATAGCATTATCTTGTAGATTTCTACCGCTTAAATACAGGCACCCAAATGCCTTACTAGGATCCTGAGCCACACATACACCCAAAGGCAAACACATTCAAGCATGCACAGGAGAGCTACTGCATCTCTACCAGGCTCAGGGAGAAGCCCTACAGAGCCACACTTAAAACCTCGAGGTTTGCCAACAGACAGCCTTGAAAGATGCAAATTCCTCACCCTGGAGTCTTGGTGAGTAGCACAGATGGCTGGCACAAGCAAGCTAGTAGAGAAGCAAAAATAGCCACAGAAGGGCTTAGTCAGCAAGGGGAAGCCTTACCCTGGAGGACCAGGATAGGAGTTGGGTACACTGACTCAAGAGAGGTCTGCCTTATGTACCCGTTTCTGCCCAAACCACTGCTGTCAACACTGGAAGGACATTCACTGACGGGAAGGGTGAAGTCTGGTTAACCCTTAACCTTCGGACCTCTCTAACAGGGTCGTGAACGCCTGCGGACCCCTCAGAATAAGATTCTTTAAACACATCAAATAAAATATGTAGGGTAATAGAAATACACTATCTTCAGATTCCTTAAGGGTCTATGAACCCCCCAGTCAAGAACCCCCAAAAGGTGAAGAGGGTCTTGATGAAGTGGAGGCATGGGAAATGATTCTAGAGAATGGGAACTCCTAGGCCCTCCTAGGACTAAATGCCATACTGCATTTTAAAATGAAAAATACCAATATAAGGCTGAATAACTGTATAAACTCTTTTCAAAGCACTTTTATGAATTCTCTCACTTGTTCCATATAAATAGTCCTTGCAGAAAAAAAGCATCTTCCTAACACAGAAAAAAAGATGTAAAGTTTTCTGTAAGTATTTGGAAGCCATCTCAGCCCATTGGTTCCCAACTGGAACAGTTTTGACCCCCGAGAGACATCTGGTAATGTCTAGAGATATTTGTGGTTATCATAACAGGAGGGGGGGTATGTCATACTGGCATCTGATGGGTAGAGGCCAGGGCTATTGCTCAATATTCTATAATGCACAGGGTAGCCCCCTACAACAAAGCATGATGTAACCCAAAATATCAACAGTGCTCTTGAGAGTCCCTTGGACAGATAGCAAGGAGATCCAACCAGTCCATCCTAAAGGAAATCAAGCCTGAATATTCATTGGAAAGACTGATGCTAAAGCCGAAGCTCCAATACTTTGGCCACCTGATGTGAAAAGCCGTCTCACTGGTAAAGACCCTGATGCTGGGAAAGATTGAGGGCAGGATGAGAAGGGGACTGCAGACGGTAAGAGGGCTGGATGGCCTCGACTCCATGGACATGAGTCTGAGCAAACTCTGGGAGACGGTGAAGGACGGGGAAGCCTGGCATGCTGCAGTCCATGGGGTCGGTGACTGAACAGCAAATCAACAATGCTAAGACTGAGAAACCCTGGTTAGCCCAATGGACACACAGGTTGGAGAAAAGATTCAGTGAGATTAAATGACTTTGTCCAAGGACACTAAGATGAGTGGACTTTGTTCTTTCCAAATACCAGGAGGACATCTGTTGGTCTTGAAGTTCCCGGGACTTCAAAGCCAGGAAGAGTACTGGAGGAACAGCCTGCTGCAGGCGTGAAGCAGAGGTAAGGCCGCGGCAGCACAGAGGGCACAGGCCTCTGGGCCGCCGAACATCATCGCCTTAACCGTGGCTCGTGTACAGATCTGATATTTGTGGTGACCTAGCTTCTAAGGTGGTCATCCTCCCCCAGTTACTATGTGACGGACAAGGAAGGACAACCAAAGGCTCCCAAGGACTTGTCCAAGGGGTACCTCTAGTGAAGCACAGATTACAGGCAGCCACAGGAGGACGAAGAAAGCTAATTCTGCTTTCCAAACTTGTGTGTGTGTGTGAAAGTCGCTCAGCTGTGTCCAACTTTTTGAGACCCCCAAGGACTATACAGTCCATGGAATTCTCCAGGCCAGAATACTCGAGTGGGTAGCCTTTCCCTTCTCCATGGGATCTTCCCGACCCAGGAATCGAACCGGGGTCTCCTGAATTGCAGCTGGATTCTTTACCAACTGAGCTATCAGGGAAGCCCTTCCAAACTTACAGTCACCTACAATTACTAAGGGGCACTGTCAGTTTTATTTACTTTTAAAAACATCCTCTTCAATTAGAACTAAAGAGAGTCCCTCAGATGTGTGCACGTGTGTGTATAAACACACATATTTATGTGTACATTTATGAGGTCGTGAACGCCTGCGGACCCCTCAGAATAAGATTCTTTAAACACATCAAATAAAATATGTAGGGTAATAGAAATACACTATCTTCAGATTCCTTAAGGGTCTATGAACCCCCCAGTCAAGAACCCCCAAAAGGTGAAGAGGGTCTTGATGAAGTGGAGGCATGGGAAATGATTCTAGAGAATGGGAACTCCTAGGCCCTCCTAGGACTAAATGCCATACTGCATTTTAAAATGAAAAATACCAATATAAGGCTGAATAACTGTATAATCTCTTTTCAAAGCACTTTTATGAATTCTCTCACTTGTTCCATATAAATAGTCCTTGCAGAAAAAAAGCATCTTCCTAACACAGAAAAAAAGATGTAAAGTTTTCTGTAAGTATTTGGAAGCCATCTCAGCCCATTGGTTCCCAACTGGAACAGTTTTGACCCCCGAGAGACATCTGGTAATGTCTAGAGATATTTGTGGTTATCATAACAGGAGGGGGGGTATGTCATACTGGCATCTGATGGGTAGAGGCCAGGGCTATTGCTCAATATTCTATAATGCACAGGGTAGCCCCCTACAACAAAGCATGATGTAACCCAAAATATCAACAGTGCTCTTGAGAGTCCCTTGGACAGATAGCAAGGAGATCCAACCAGTTCATCCTAAAGGAAATCAAGCCTGAATATTCATTGGAAAGACTGATGCTAAAGCCGAAGCTCCAATACTTTGGCCACCTGATGTGAAGAGCCGTCTCACTGGTAAAGACCCTGATGCTGGGAAAGATTGAGGGCAGGATGAGAAGGGGACTGCAGACGGTAAGAGGGCTGGATGGCCTCGACTCCATGGACATGAGTCTGAGCAAACTCTGGGAGACGGTGAAGGACGGGGAAGCCTGGCATGCTGCAGTCCATGGGGTCGGTGACTGAACAGCAAATCAACAATGCTAAGACTGAGAAACCCTGGTTAGCCCAATGGACACACAGGTTGGAGAAAAGATTCAGTGAGATTAAATGACTTTGTCCAAGGACACTAAGATGAGTGGACTTTGTTCTTTCCAAATACCAGGAGGACATCTGTTGGTCTTGAAGTTCCCGGGACTTCAAAGCCAGGAAGAGTACTGGAGGAACAGCCTGCTGCAGGCGTGAAGCAGAGGTAAGGCCGCGGCAGCACAGAGGGCACAGGCCTCTGGGCCGCCGAACATCATCGCCTTAACCGTGGCTCGTGTACAGATCTGATATTTGTGGTGACCTAGCTTCTAAGGTGGTCATCCTCCCCCAGTTACTATGTGACGGACAAGGAAGGACAACCAAAGGCTCCCAAGGACTTGTCCAAGGGGTACCTCTAGTGAAGCACAGATTACAGGCAGCCACAGGAGGACGAAGAAAGCTAATTCTGCTTTCCAAACTTGTGTGTGTGTGTGAAAGTCGCTCAGCTGTGTCCAACTTTTTGAGACCCCCAAGGACTATACAGTCCATGGAATTCTCCAGGCCAGAATACTCGAGTGGGTAGCCTTTCCCTTCTCCAGCAGATCTTCCCGACCCAGGAATCGAACCGGGGTCTCCTGAATTGCAGCTGGATTCTTTACCAACTGAGCTATCAGGGAAGCCCTTCCAAACTTACAGTCACCTACAATTACTAAGGGGCACTGTCAGTTTTATTTACTTTTAAAAACATCCTCTTCAATTAGAACTAAAGAGAGTCCCTCAGATGTGTGCACGTGTGTGTATAAACACACATATTTATGTGTACATTTATGCATTTATATACACACATAAATATGTGTGTGTATATGTAGGTATATATGGAAAATAAATTTATTTTAAAATATGCCACACTGCTAAGAAATTTTACCAAGCTCTACTGATAAAAACATAATAACCTCTTGCCTCAGCTCTTTTTAAGAGTCTAAATTAAAATGCACTTTGATTATAAGAGACAATCCTCTGCACAAATCCTCTTAATGTGCAGAGCATCTGACCAAAGCTGACTCAGTGGCACCAACAAAATAATGGAGGCTTTTAGCTTCCTGCAGCATGAATTTGCTGTGGGAAAAGCCCAAACTGGGGGGAAGAATCATATACTCTCCTCTAGAACTTGACAGAATCTTTCCCCCAAATTAAGCATTCATCTCTACCAGGAGGTTCTCCTTTGCCCATACACAGCCATTTCCCTGCATCAATTCCCCCTTGACTTGCCCTTCAATTTGGAAGGTCTGCTCCCACCTGCTGCTTCTCCAAATGAATAAAATCCCATCTTGCTCAGATGAGAGTAAGTGATAGTTATTTGTATTCACACAAATTATTTTTTGCTGCTTGAATACATTATTTTAAGGAAAGTGAATTTCCATGCAAAGTCCCACCATTATCAAGACACGTTCACTTCCACTGGCAACCCATCGGCCTGGACCCTTTTACTATTATCCACAGCAAGAGCACTATATTAAAATGCCACGTACATTACCATGTTCAGTAATCCACACCACACAGTAGTCACAAAGCACTTTCAGCCTTTCGATGCTGTGCACTGAATTACAGACATTCTTTTTCTATTATTTTGTGAACATTTTCAGACACAAAAGAACTGAATTATACAGTGAACACACATAGATTCTGTAGTTTACACTTAGCTATATTAGGGAAAGGCTTATTTGGTTACACAATTCTGGGCATATCCACACTCTGAGGATCAAAAGCAGCACTTACTGTTAGCTTACATAGAGAAATAAAAGTCTGGTTTGGATATTAAAAGCATGAAAGAGATTGTTAGCCTTACCCAAGAACTCAGCAACAAAACTGTTGTCAAAATGAATTAAGCTTTTTCTGGACTCACTGAAAAGGGAAAACATTTCCATTTCTTCCAAAGAAAATAACTAGAAGACAGAGGTCAGTTAAGCACCATAAAGAAAAATAAATGAAATGGCCTAGACACTGACAAAAACACTATGTTAAAAGAAGCAACATTTGGAGGGAAAGGAGTAACTTACTACTGCGCATGCCATCTGATGCACACTGCTCACCATCCCAAGTATGCACAATACTGTTCCAGAAATTCTAGACTGTTCCAGTTCTGACACTGCTAATTCTAGCAGAACATTCACAGGCAGTAAAAACAGTCCCTATGGGCATTGTAGTGACAGGAGGCTCAAACTGGTTGTAACTGGAAGCACATGACCTGGTAAGATATTACTGTCAGCATAGGAAAGCTCAGAACATTAAAGAATAGATTTCGATTTTCATTCTGCTTTAGCTCAAGGTGAAGAAATCATTTAAATGATTGAATTTGACCAAATGTTGAGACCACTAACAGCCATGTCGTTTATACATAATGCTTTCCTCAAGGAACATAAAACAATTTAAAAACATTATTTTACTTTTCTTCACACTTGAGATAGAAGCCACGAAACATTATTCCCAATTAACTGAGGCACAAATCAGTTCTATGATTTGTCTATGGTCCCAATATGATTCAGATCCATAGCTGGGAATCAAACCCAATGTCCTGATTACCATAAATACCAGAAATATGCTCTCAAACAGCACTAAGTAAAAGAACAATAACTTTTACAAAATGATGCTCTAATGGTTGAAGCTTAAAGTCTTGCTAATGATTATAATTACATGCAAAATAAAATAAAACGGAATTTGTGTCTGCCGAGGTCCGCTGTACAGAGCAGCTCTCCCCAACGCTAAGGTAGATGGTCTTCTCTTCCCAGTTCCCAAAGCCAGGCCTCGAGGAGTGAGGAGTAGAAGGAAGACAGCTTTCTCTGCCAGCGCCTCCTAGCTGAGGTCACAGTCAATCTAGAAGGCTCAGTTTCCACTGGGTTCTTCTGTTGATCTTTGGTGGTATCAAAAGCTCCGCATCTAAAGATAAGGAAAGAGAAACTGTAACAGACACACTCTCTCCTGCTGGTTGGAGCTGAGGCAATCATTCTAAGCTACAACGAGGTGACTGGGCCTTGCACCTATAAGATGAGCTTTAGAAGCAGAGTTAATGTTCGTGTTACCCTAACAACCTCCTGGTCAGAGCAAACACAGCCTAGAGGCCCTGCTCCAAGAAGAGGAATATTCCACTTCAGCTTCAGGCAGGTGAGAGGGTTGAAGAAAAACAATGCCCACTAACTGATTCAAAGTGAAAGAATATTTTGTATTTCAAATGGGAGAGGGTGGTGGTTGTAGTGGTGACAAGGCTGTATACACGTATTCAATTTCCTCAAACTATACACTTAAAAGATCTGTACATTTCACTGTATGGGAAATTTACCTCATTTTTAAGAGTAAAAAACTGGTGGCATGTATTCAGTAAGTAAAGCTAACGGACAGAAAAGACTTTATGATAATTTTTACAAAGACAGTGGTCAATAAAAATGTCCTTGCTTAAAAAATAACTAGAAGAGGCAGGTGTTAGTTGGAGAAAAATTGGCAGATAAAACTTCCAGGCCCTCTTTCAGCTACATTTATGGAGTTATTTAAGTAAGAATAATAAACAGTAAGTAGAGACATGAGAAAACATGTAAAGATGTTCTTTCTTAGTATAAATACCACGTATTGACTTATTGGCAGGAAAGAAACTATTCTGACAAGACTGTGTGACAGCAAGACATGACATCTTTCACATTTCCATGTCTGAATTTCATAGCACAAAGAAAGTCATTTCATGAAAGTACTTTGAGGACTTTGATCAATTTTTCCAAGGACTTCTCTTTATCCTTTGATAGTCTACGCAATTTTGCTATCAACCGTAACAAGTCCAACTGGTCTATGATTTAAGCACTACTCTGGTAAAACATGAATTCATTTTATGAAACGGATTCCATTTTTGCAAGACCTGGAATCAACTTGTGTGGTGCTATGTTGTATGGTGAACATGAAGCAATCGGAAAAAGCCCTCCAGGTCACTGCTCCTCTATACTGTTAGCTGGGGAGAGGCAGGAGAGGAATATCTGAGCGGCACCAATTCTGCCCCTTTTTGGGTTATGAGAACTTCTCCTTTCCTACACAGTCTACACTAGTGTTCCTACACAGGGACACAAATAATACACATAATGAGCTGATAATACATAATACAAATTTGGAGGCTGCTGATAATGAGCAGCCTCAAAACTTTAAAATTTGGCTATAAGGCTCAGCTGGGAAATGAAAGTGCTCTTTGATAAAGCCAACTAGACCACCCTAGGCAAAGGTGTGTGACTGGACTGGACCTGAAGGCCAGCATCAAGCCAGCAGTGAAAAGAAGCAAGGGGAAAGAAACCACAACTGGATTAGACACCACAAACTAAACAATTACCAAACGGCCTCTAGTCTGAGATGAACTGTGAGCATCTCAGAAATAAGTGTGTGTTTTGGGACTGACACCAAAAGCAGTCTGCCAGCCTCCAAGAATAAGGGGACCTAGGGATACAGCAGTTAACTGTCTGGATATATGAGCTTAGCTGGAATGGAAGGTGATTAGTATATTCCTGGTAGCAAAATGTACCATTAAAGTTAAACTTGACGTGCCTCTCACAAAGCCTACTTCAAATGTCACCAAAATGCTAACACAATATAGCATTTAAATGAAAAACTTTGAGAACGCTGTCACATGCCAGAAACACAAACAGCAGCTACAGTAACTGCCAACTTTTCAAAGCTGAAGAGAAGTTACTATGCTGGAATGATCTGCATGAAGGGCAAATACTTCGGCACCAAACTGATCTGTCAAAAGTTTTTTTAACCAACTTTGAAAAGAAAGCCTTTAGGGTTTTTAACTTTGAGGAATATGTAACCTAACTGATGAGAATCACTTCCCCCCACCCCAAAAAATAAACAGAAACATTTTAGGTATAATTCAATAGGAAATGCAGATGAAATGATAATCTTCTTTGGATCTGTTTTTAAATTATACTGTCAATCCTAAGGATAACTAAAAAGGTCCAGCTCTTAAGCAAGAGATGTGAAAATGTTCCCAAGACACAGTGCAAAACTGTCAAGAGCCAAAAATGATGATTCAGAAGAATTCTTAAAATGTACGTGCAAATTAGACTGTTTAGACGCAAACTTAAACTGTGATGTGCCTGTATGGATGCATAAATGTCACTGCATTGACAAGTGTGCATGTCAGAACAAGTTTTTTAAAAATTATACATTTAATGTCACACTGGATCTCTGATCCCCCAACCCAGGTTCCAAACACTAAAGGCATTAAACTAATTTCACTAAATATAGTCTCAGAACAGATGAAAAATTGCAGTGACTCCCCAATTTCTCCTTATACTACTAACCTCAACGCTTACAAAAAGATATTTCTTCTGTTTAGTACTATGATAATTTAGAGAGAAAAATACTAACCAAGAACAGGAACTGATGTCGTCTCTTGTTGGTAAGAGGCCATGATACTATTTGAAGTAAAATTGGGACCTAGAACCTAAGTAGAAAGTAGACTGAATCAGCAAAGATTATTATATACTTCTGATGACTGCAAATACCAGATCTACCAGCATTAAGTAGCCTTGCATTTTCATTATGGCATCAAACATATATGTGATTTTAATTTGACAGTTTCTCCCATCTCCATTCAGACCTTGATATCTCCTGTCTACCAGAAGGTAATGATGGGGGGAAAGCAGAAAAGGAAAAGCTCAGTAATAAACGCCTGGTCCTTTCCAAATGAGTGAGCCAAACCTTGGGGGGAGGGGGTACAATAATAGATTATAGAATACACAGAGCATCAGACTGTACTCAAAGATTTGTGGGAATTTTTACATTAAAATACTATGTGCACAAAATGGAGGAGAATGCAAACTCCATGTGTGTTCAAGGTGAACAAGAGACTTCATAGGAATCCCACGCCTGCAGGAGGCTCAGTGGGCACATGCCAGGCCCTCTGCCCCACCTGCACTCAGCTCTGTGCCCGTCTCCTCCTGGCACACGCCCAGCAGCGATGCCACATGCTCAAAGCACTGCCCCGTGACCCATGGTCTCCTATACACATGACATTACCGTGCTTTACCAACCAGAGCAAAAACACAATTTCCCTGTCACTTCCCCTAAAAGACTCCTAAGCTGGTATCTTAGGTGTTAATATGATATGAATAGATGAGAATGAGGGAGGGCCTGGGGAGGCATTATAAATTGTTAGCTTCGAAATCACAAGTTTTGAAGGTGATCACATTTCTTCTAGGAAATACCTATTATAGTATAAGTTCAAGTGTTTATGGGAGGCTAATTCTTAGTTGCCTTTATAGTTTTTTCTTTTGAATGCTTTGATATCTACCTTGTCATCGAACCTTCAGAACATTCAGTGAAGTATACCAGAGAATATTATTCTCATTTATAACTGAGGAAATCAAGACCCAGTAAGCTTATATATTTCATAAGCCTATGAGCTGACTTCGGCCTCTGTCTCAGCTCCAAACGCACCCTTCTATGCACTGCTTGTGATGCTGGGGCTGTGGTCTGAGAAAACACCCCTCCCCTGACGGCTGTATTCTCCAACAAGAGCAGCCCACAGAGGGACAGGCGAGGCTGGACGGAGGACGGAGACGGGATCTGCTGCTTCGTTTGCATGCTTTCACTTAACCATGGCTCTTCAGCCCGCAGCATCTGCTCACTCCAGTTGCCATTTACTTCCATACACTGAACCAGCCTCATCTGCCCCCGCAGAAACACCAGCACCAGGTGGCTGCCCCTGCTTCACGGAGCTTCAGGAACCAGCTCCGCAAGGCCCAGCCCCAAGCGTCTAAATTCTAACTCTCAAACTCTCCCTTGTGTTCTTTCGGTCCTAGGGGTCTAAGCTGCCCACACTTACTGTCTCAGCGTTCCTTCTCCATGTTCCCCCTCTGCCTTTTTGGTCCTCTACTACTTGGTTAACCAGTTCCATTTATTAAAATCTCTCTGATAAAATACTAGCTGTGGTTTCCGTTGTCCTTAATGGACCCTGACGGACAGACCAGCCTTTCAGAATCAAAATCAAAACACTGAGCAACAGACCTGAGGTGTAAGAGACTGTGCAGATATAAACAATAAACAGATGACAAAAGCTCAGAATTCTTGATGGGACACAAACAGCTTTAACATAATTAGTAACCATGTCATAACAACACAGGAGTGACAAGTCAAATTTACTGCAATTATCTGTGCTTCCTTTAAAGAAATCAGATCCCATCTGTAAGTGTGAACAGAGAGGTGAGGGGCCAATTCTGGTCGACCCTTAACAATTTCACTGAAGGTCAGGGACAACCGTCTGACTCCCATCTTCTCCATGACAGTGGCTTCATGTGGAAAAGAGAACTAAAAGCAAACTTAACCTAGGCCAGGGTATACTATGAACTACATGGTCAGTCACAAAATCTTCTTACCAACAGCTTGCTAAGATAATTTAACTGTGGTATAGTATGTTTCAAGAGAAGGAAAATTTTTTGCTTTGACTGTTGAGACACTATGAGAGTAATAATCTGTGAAAGTGATTTTAACGAGAAAAGCACATTCAGTTTTTTAGGAAAACTTACAAGTGTAGCTGAACTCTGCTGGGGGGTGAGAGTCCAAATTTCCGGAAGCGACCTTTCCATTAACTGCAGAGTATCTTCAAAGGCCTTCTGTAATTCCCTTCCTTGCTCATCAAACTCAAAGAGAAAGAGCATCTTTAAAATACGGCATATTTCATCTAGAGAGAAGAAATTTGAGAGAGTGGTTAAGTTGTAATACCAGCTCCATTGCTAGAATCCTAACAGAGAATCTTTCCCAAGTAAAAAATATCTAATATCACACAGTATCTTCCATATTTTCTTCTTTCTCCTCCAAAGCTAGAATAAAAGACAGACGTCTTTCTCCAGACCAATAATACTTATTCCCAAGTCCACGATGTAGCAAGTGAGGGGGATGGACTGGATTTTAACCTTTATTTTCATCCCAGAGCAAACCTGCTTAACAGTTTAGGCCCTGTGTGGTCTTGGGTAAACTTTTTGACTTCAATGATGGTCCTTCACATCTTGGGTAGGTGAATGCCAATGAGAAAGGCCTCTGGGCTACCAGCTGAGAAGTTTTGTTTCAGGAATGTGCCCTGAAGTGATATATTTACTATGGTTTTTATGCGGGCAAGAATCATCGGTACTGAGAATGTACCTCTCAGGTTTTCAGTCCCCTGCACCACTTCGCGCAATGCCTCCAAAAGGGCCACATCCTCCAGAGGACTCCCCTCCTTGAGGCTGTGCTTCTTCCGCTCCGCTTTGCGCCGATTCTTAGATGATCGCCTGTTAGAAATTACAGATGTTTTAAAAGGGGCTCTCCTTAAGCCCTTCCCATTAAAATCTGGAACAAGACAAGGCTGCCCACTCCCAGCACTTCTCTTCAATGCAGTACTGGAAGCCCTAGACACAGCAATCAGAAGAGAAAGGGAAACGACAGGCCATTAGGACCTGGCATTAGACGGGGGTGACCTGATACTAAGGACTCCACATAAAAACTCCTAGATCGGATAAATTAATTCAGCAAAGTAGCAAGATAAAAGAATGACATCAGGAATTGGTTGCATTTCTTTATAAAAGCAATGAAATATCAGAAAGGGAATGTAAAAAAAAAAAATACTTTTCAAAATCGCAGTCCCCAAAACAAAATACTTATGAATAAACCTGATTAAGATTAAAGACTCATACACTGAGCACTATAAAAGATTAAGAAAGGAAACTGAAGATGATTCAAAGATATGGAAAGACATCCCATGTTCTTGGACTTCAAGAATTAACATTGTTAAAATGGCCGTATTACTCAAAGCAATCTGATGTAATGCAATCCCTATCAAATGACCCATGACAGTTTTCACAGAACTAGAACAAATAATCCCCTAATTCTATGGAACCATAGGTGACCCAGAACCGCTAAAGCAATTCTGAAGAAAAAGAACAAAGCAGGAGGCACAGCCTTCCCAGACTTCAGACATACTACAGAGTTACAGGAATCAAAACAGCAGGGCACTGGCACAGAACAGACATGCGGCTCAATGGAGCAGAAGCGAGACAGCATGGCACTGGCACAGAAGACATGCGGCTCAATGGAGCAGAAGCGAGAGCCGAGAGATGCACCGACACGCCTGCCACCAGTCAGTCTCCTGTGGGAGTCAGGAGTGTAAAACGGGAAAGAGTCTCTTCAGCAACTGGTGCTGGAAAAGCTGGACAGCCACATGGAAACAGATGCAGTTAAAACATACCTTCTCACTGTACACAGAAATAACCTCAAGATGACTTAAAGACCTAAACATAATTAAGACATGACACCATAAAACTCCCAGAAGAGAGCACAGGCAAAACATTCTATGACATAAATTGTACCAACGCTTTCTTAGGTCAGTCTCCCAAGGCAATAGAAATAAAAACAAAAGTAAACAAACTTACAAGCTTTTGCACAGCAAAGGAAACAATAAAAAACAAAGATGAAAACGATCTACAGAATGGGAGAAAAAAATCTTCACATGATGCAGTAGACAAGGGCTTAATTTCCAAAATACACCAACAGCTCATATAACTCAACAACAAAAAACAAACAACCCGATCAAAAAAATGGACTAAAAATCTTTACATTTCTCAAAAAAAAAAAAAAAAATACAGATAAATGGCCACCAGGCATGTGAAAAGATGCTCAACATCACTAATTATTACAGAAATGCAAATCAAAACTACAGTGAGGTACCACTTGACACCAGCCAATATGGTCATCATTAATAAGTCTACAAATAACAAATGCTGAAGAGGGTGTGCAGAAAGGGGAACCCTCCTATACTGTTGGTGGGAATATGAGTCTGTACAGCCACTATGGAAAACAGTATGGAGGTTCCTCAGAAAACTAAAACACGATTACAATATTATCCAGCAATCCCACTCCTGGGCATATACCTGGAGAAAACTCTAATCCAAGAGGACATATGCACCCCTATGTTCACAGCAGCACTATTCACAACAGCCCCAAGGCATGGAAAGAAACTAAATATCCACTGACAGATGACTTGATAAAGAAGGTGTGGTACATACACACAACGGAACACCACTCAGACATGAAAAGAATGAAACAGCGCCATGTGCGGGATAATGGATGCAACTAAGATTATCAAATTAAGTGAAGTAAGTCAGAAAGAGAGAGAAATACGATATCATTTATACACGGAATCTAAAACACAGCACAAATGAACCTATCCAAGAAACAGACTCACAGACGTAGAGACAGACTTGTGGGTGCCAAGGGGAGGAGAGGGAGAGGGAGATGGACGGACTGTGAGTTTGGGGTGGGCAGATGCAAAGTATTACGTTTAGAATGGATAAACAAGATCCTACTGGATAGCACCGGGAACTATATTCGATATCCTGTGATAAACCATAATGGAGGAAAACATAAACAAAGAACGTATACATGTGTATAACTGAATCACTCTGCTGTACCACTGAGATTGTCACAACACTGTAAATCAATTACGCTTCAATAAAGAAAGAGGGCTCTCCTTGTGCTCAGCAGATTAAAATGAATGTAGCAGTAACTACGGTCACCAACTGTTTGGGAAACCAGAGTATACACAGATGGTGCTGGTATTTTGGGGAAAATGGTGAAGGTGTTAAAATGATACATAAAATTCAACTGGTAGAGAAAAGGCAGAAAATAATAAGGAAAGCCCTAAAAAGTGATGCCTGGCCTTGAAGGTTTGATTAAGATACAGAATGAAATGAGATTACATCTGATAATCAGAGCTGGAACAATGAGAAGAACAACCAGCTTCAATTTTGTAGTAAAAACCAAATAAATTTAAAGGCAACAAAATTAAAGTAAGAAGACAGACATATCAGATTGGAATTTGAATATCATAAAATATATAAATGAACCCACACTCTTTCCCGCCTCAGAGGTCTTCAACTATGCCATTTGTTTCATCTGGGACCCTCACCCCAACTCCCAAAAGCCCCCGTCTAGGTGACTTTCTTGCAGTTTCTGATTATCCCACACAATCTCACAGATGTCCACTCTAAATTCCTAAAACGCCATTTGGTTTAAATATATCATCACGCATTGTTTTCTGTTTCCCAAGTAAGTCTATTAATTCTTAATTCTTCCCAAGTAAATTCTTATTAATTCACATCTCCTTAAAAGGTTTCTGTAATATCCACTACAACTAGCTCAGATACTTCTGATCAACTGAACTTTGAAGAAGTGTGAACTCGCCTTTCTTTATAATCTTTCTAGTTTTTCAGTGCCTACACATTACATATAGTCACTTAATATTTGTTAACGTATGGATGTAAAAGTTGGACTATAAAGAAAGGTGAGCACAGAAGAATTGATGCTTTTGAACTGTGGTGTTGGAGAAGACTCTTGAGAGTCCCGTGGACTGCAAGGAGATCCAACCAGTCCATCCTAAAGGAGATCAGTCCTGGGTGTTCATTGGAAGNTGCTTGTGGCTTTTCACGAGCTGACCAAAAGGGTCTACGTGAATCTGGAAGCTTGCAAGGGGGGAATGAGGCCGCCAAGAGTGTGCTGAAGCAAGAGGGTAGCAGCAGGTCTCCCCAGGTGTGTGCGCACTGACCCTGACGTGGACAGAGGTCTCCAAAGCCACAGCTTGTGCAGACAGCACCACCTGCGTTTGCAGAGCAGCGGGGCAAGCGGAGGTGGTTTTGTGGGCCCGTTTCCCCATCTGTAGGGAGAATGTGGCTGCAATTTAGGAGACCCTGGGTCTCTCTCTCTCTCTCTGTCTCTCTCTGTCTCTTTCTCTCTCTGTCTCTCTCTCTCCCCGCCCCCAGTTTGACATACTGTTACCAGATTACTGCTCAAGTGCAGTTTAATTATGTAATGTTTGTTCAGTATAATTTGTCAGCTGTTAAATTTGGCATCTACCCTTCCCTTCTGATCTTTATTTTTCTGTGCACTTTAAGAACATTTTTTAATCATATGGTATTTACGTTTTTATGTGTTACCTTTTCATTTAACCTCATGACATAAATATTTTTCCTTGCTATTAAAAACTCTTTGTAAACATAAAAAAAAAAAAAAAAAAATACGGCACAAAAGTGTATAACTGAGTCACGAGACTGGCTCACCACTGTACGTCAACTATTCTCCAATTAAAAAAAGGAGGTGCTCTCCTTGTGCTCAACAGCCTAAAGTCAATGTAGCAATAACTACTGGTCACCAACAGACATTAAATACGATTTTACTACTGTAAGCTAGTACTTTACCAAACTTCTTTATTCTTTTCTTAAAGCAAAGGAACGTTTGGAGATGAGAAGATTCATTCTGTAAATACTGCAGTCGGTTCCTCCGGCTGGGTGAGGGGGGAACGTTTGGTAGACCTCTTCCCATTCATGCTCGATTCTGCCCTCAAACTCTCCCCAGTACCCATGACAAAGACACACACATGCCCTTCACAGAGGCCTCAGACTTGCACTTGGCATGGTAACCACACTGCAGGAGGCACAGTAAGCGGCTAGTAAGACAAAGGGTGATGCTGCCCCCGCCACCAGCCCCAAGCTTCACTGGCTTCAGGCAGGCACTCACCCAGGTTCACCTGCTGGGCCTTCTCCTTCAGCTCTCGTACCACCAACAGACGTTTTTTATGCCGACTGAATGTGGCTGTCTGAGAGTCCAGAAACGCCATATGATTTTTCTGGGCTGAGGGTGCAGATGGAAAAGAATTTAAGCATGTCTAAGCAAAGAGAAAAAACTAGAGGGAGGGGTTAACAAGGGAGTCAGAGCTTAATGGAAAGAAAACGAGTTATCAAGTTTCTCAAGTAAGATTTTTTTCTTTAAATTTAATGGAGAATTAACCAACACTGCTTTCAGAGAATGAACTAGAGATTGAGAGGCAAGATCTTAAAGTTCATCAACATCATCCTAGAAAACGCTCTACCACTAAACTTGTAAAATCACCTGAGTAAGAGTCTTTAATATCTAACCCAAGAGAGGACTGGCAAATAAAACGTGTGTACAGGAAGCTATTAACAAAAATAGGAGGAAAGTCACGAAAGGCTTCCTAAACCTATAAGTATTAGGTCTTTGCTGATGAATTGTCAGCATTTTTCTAGGTTCTCATTAGTGGAGAAAAATTCAAGTGAGAGTGAGCCAGAAGCATTTTTACAGGGCCCAGGAGGATGCTTCCAGGATCCAGGTAGGAGTACACAAAGAGAATGATACACAGAGAGCTCTCCCAGTTTTAAGCTGGACAGGGTAATAGAGAGCAGAAAGAGTAAGAATGTGATGCGTGTTAATGACAGAAAGGCTAGACATCACTTACAGGTTAGACTGTGCAGGGCTTAAAATCAACCTCTACTCCCCAAGTTCTGTACGTCAAACTGACATCCCACTCTTACACTCTGCATTTAAGGAGTTACAATGTACACCAGAGTATTCTAGAACTGATTAACACTCATCTGTTATCGATTAACCTTCTGCAAAGGTCCTTTTCATTTTTATTATTTTTTTGGATTTGCCGTGCAGCATACAGGATCTTAGTTCCCCGACAAGGGACTGAACCTGTGTCCCCAGAATTGGAAGCTAACTTAACCACAAGGCTACAGGAAAAGCGCTTCTTTTCATTATAAAAAAAATTTTTATTTTGAAAGTTCAAACCCTACATAAAAGTTGCAACAGTTCAATGAATACACACACACACACACGCTTCACTTAAGATTTATCAATTATTAACATTATTCTAGATTTTTGGCTTCCTCCATTTCTCTCCACTCTCTCTCTCTCACACACAATTATTTTTGTGGAACCCTTTGAAAAGAAGTTACAGATACGATCCTTCCCTCCTAAATACTTTAGCATCTCTCTCTTAAGAATCAGGATCATATGTATATATTCACAATACAATTATTAAATGCAGAAAATTAACCATTTGATACGATATTATCCAATAGTTCGTATGCAAGTTTACCAACTATTCCCCAATGCAAAAATTTTTAATTGTATCTTACGCACAGGTTTTTAACATTCAAATATTTCATGTGTGACTATTTAACAGCACTGTCGCTACTGTTTAGACACTAAGTCTGTCCAACTCTTTGTGGCTCCATGGACTGTAGCCTCCCAGGCTCCTCCATCCATGGGATTTCCCAGGCAAGAACACTGGAGTGGGCTGTCATTTTTCTTCTCTACGGGGATCTTCGCGACCCAAGGATCAAACCCATGTCTTCTGTGTTGGCAGGCAAATTCTTTAGCACTGGAAGCCCATTTAACATAGCACATTTAAAAACCAAGGTCAGAATTCAATTATCTCACCCAGGGGAGAACTCTGAATGACTCAGTAAAATGCGTTCTTTCATCACTGACATGATTAAAGGATGTAACAGCAAAGACAGTACTCTACCATCTCCCTCTCCTCCCCATCTTGATATTTCCAAATCAGGAATTCTTTCTAAAATACAACCCTCACCTTCTAAAATGGAAGGCTTTATGTTGGTTTCTATAATATCTGGTCTGTTATATTTGTGTACCTAAAAGGAAAAATAAGATAATTTTAGGCAGGAAAACTTCAAGTCACTGGAAAGTTAAGATGCTAGGGAATGGATCACTTTCAGAGGTGACCAGGATATTTTCCAGAGGAGAAGGCCTACAAGGCAGCCAAACAAAACCCAAATCGTTTCAGTAAAAGACAGTAACATTTCACATTTAGAGGACTAATTCCACACATCAAGAATAAATTATTTAAATGGTTTAAAAAGCACTGCTTATCCTTAGACCAGAACCTGAACTACTACTTCCAGACTTCAGTAGCCTCAGAAGACCAGGGACTCCGGCTGACACTGTCTCCCCTGAGGAGGCTCTCATTCTACTTAGCACTTCAGGCAGGGAAGAGTTCTGATGTCCTCTTACCAGTCTCAGAGCTTCTTCCCAGGCAGCTCCTTCTAACAACACAAGCACAGCTTCTTCATGGTCCTGACAGGGGAACATCCAGGAAGAGAAAGCGTGTCAGATGCCACCGTATCAAACTGCAAAACTGCCCAAAGAGCTGCCCCTATGGCTCACAATCCCAGTTCTCAGCATAGGGTCTGGCCTAGAGCAGATGCTTGATAAATGCTGATGCAAAAGACAAATGAGGGGTGACCATTCTGGAAATGACCACAAAACACAAGGTGAGCATCATCTCTCTCCATCCCTGAGCACTGAAACCATGACAGAGACTGTTAGAAATGCCCATTTCCCCAGGTGCATCTCCAAGTCTGATTCAGGAGATTTAAGTGGGCTCCTTAATTAACAAGACCACACTTTGAAAAAAAAGTAGACTAGAACAGTAACCTTCCAAACCTTTTTTTCTCTTTTAATGATTATTTTTTTCTCTTTGTATTTCAAACAACTTCAAACCTATAAAAAACTGAAATAAGTTTAATAAACATCTGTATATTCTACAGTCTTTAACCATTTGTGATGCTTACATCCTTACCACTAAAAAGTTTTGACCAGGTACCCTAATACATAATTACCCTATGTTCTTAAAAAGCACATAAAATAGATTTTTAAAAGATGAAATTAAAGAGACAACTGGCTGGGTTTCCTCAAGTAATCTCTATAATAAAAAAGGTGTGTATAAACTAGATAAAAAGGGATTTAAAGAACGTAAGATAATGAATGCAATACATGGACCTAAAAAGGAATCTAATTTGGATCAATCTACTGTGAACAACTTTGGAATATTGAAGGAACTTAAATTTTAATTATTGGGTAAGTTAAAATGTGTCAACATGGAGAGAGGAAGATTATAGCCAAACAAAACAAATCTACAAGCAGCATAATTTCATTTTGGTTAAAAAATACGTGTGTGTGTGTGTGTGTGTGTGTAAATCTACAAACAGCATAATTTCATTTTGGTTAAAAAATACGTGTGTGTGTGTGTGTGTGTGTGTGTGTGTGTTTGAGGTGAGGGGGGAGGAGGGAAGAGAGAGAGGGCAGAGAAAACTCTGGAAAGAAACAGGAGATGTTAACAATAGCAACCTGTGAGTGGTAGGAATGAAGTGTTTTTGTTTTCTTGTATTTGCTTTTAGTATTTTAAACAATCTATAATACATACATACTACTTTAAATAAGTTACTTTTAACTAAGAAGGTTAAATAAATATTTTTTCCGCAGACCACAAAGGATCATTTCAGGCCTATACCACATGTCCCAAAGAAACACAGTATATGTGTTTTGCTTGACTGGCAATGTGTATGCCTGTGTGTTTTATTGACATAAAATTCATATATTAATAACATAAAATGAATAATTTAAAAGTGTACAATTTGATGCTGTTTACTATATCACAGTGTTGTGTAATCACAAGCTCTTCCTACTTTCAAAATCTTTTTTTAATCATCACATAAAAACACTTCATATCCATTAACCAATCCCTCATTTCCCACTCCTCTCACCCCCTGGAAACTTCTAATCTGCTTTTTGTCTCTCTGGATTTGCCTAGTCTGAATATATTATATAAAAGGAATCATACAATAGGTGACTTTTTGTGCCTGACTTCTTTCACTAAGGATATGTTTTAAAGATTTATCAGTTCTTTGTTCCTTTTTTCTCCCCTTATTTTTTTGACTATAGCAAAATTCAAAATAAACTGTACCCGTTTAGCCATTTAGTGTACAGTTCATAGGCATCAAGCAAATTCACATTGTTGTGAAACCACCACCACTATCCATTTCCAAAACTTTTTTTTATCTTGCAAAACTGAAATTCTGTATCCATGAAACAATAAATCACCTCTCCCTACCCCCACCTTCAGCAACCACTGTTCTCCTTTGTCTCTATGAATTTGACTACTCTAGGCACCTCACAAAAGTAGAATTATACAATATTTGCCTTTTCATATCTGATTTATTTCACTCAGCATAATTTTTCAAGTTTCATCTAAGCTGTAGCATGCACCAGTTTTTCATTATTTTTTGACTGAATAATATTCCTTCATATGTGATGTGTACATATATCATATTGTTCACAGCAGCAGTATCCACAATAGCCAAGATATGGAAACAACCTAAATGTCTATCAACAGATGAATGGATAAAGAAGACGTGGTCCGTATATATGATGGAGCACTACTCAGCCATAAAAAAGAATGAAATGCCATGTGCAGCAACATGGATGCAACTAGCAACTACCATACCAAAGTCAGAAAGAGAAAGACAAATACCATGTGATATCACTTATATAGAGTCTAAAATATGACACAAATGAACCTATCTATGAAACAGAAACACACTCACACTTATGGAACAGATGTGCAGCTGCCAAGGGGGGCTAAGAGAGGGATGAAGTGGGAGGTTGGGGTTAGCAGAGGTAAGCTGTAATATATGGAATGGATTAACAAGGTCCTACTGTATAGTGCAGAGAACTGTTGATGTATTCAGTATCCAATGATAAACCATAATGGAAAAGAACATAAAAAAGGAGTGGATATATATATGTATAACCAAATCACTTTCCTATATATTAACACAACATTGTAAATCAACTATACTTCAATAAAAAAGAAGATAAAAAAAGGAAAAAAAGTCAATGCAATTCATCCTATCACTGGTCTAAAAATAAAAAACATATCTTAGTTTAAGAGTCATTTGGCAAAATTTAATACCCACTCATGATAAAAACTCTCAGAACCAGAAACAGAAGATAATTTTCTCAACCCAAGAGGGTGAGGATTGGCAATTTTTCTCCATAATAGGCTAGAAACTTAATATTTTAGGCTTTCTGGGACAGACTGTTACAAGCCCTCAAACTCTTGTGGCTTTAAGTGCAACAGCAGCCGCACACAATGTGTGAACAATTGGTGGGGCCATGTTTCAATAAAAATTTACCAAACAGGTGGCCAGCTAGCTTTGGCCCCCAGGTTGCGGTTTGCCAAACCCAGTAAGAGCCTTACCAGCTTCTCACATCTATTAAACAAACAACCCCGTTGCCAAAAACCAGCAAACATCACACACAGGGTGAAAGACTGAATTTCTCTAGCTAATACCACTCATGGTAGACAAGACCAGAGTTAAAAACTCTATAGGGGTCCATACTCAGGGAGATGCTACATCTTCATGAGTTTTTACCTCCAGGAGCCTTAAGAGAACTTCTCATACTGAATACAAGGAAATACCCTCATATTTCTAGCAGGGGGGAGGAAAAAGGAGACGTGAAAATATATCCAAAGCATGCTGATTTTAACAAGACCTGCTCTCAAGAGAAAGTATTTTGCCACAGCCTAATCAAAGTGGGTTTCAACAGGACCTCCAATGTGGGGGCAGGGAAATACCCAACTCTGGCCCATTCTAACTTTCCTGTCCTACCTGAAGGTGAAAAAAACCTGACAAGCCCTGGTGAAGTTTATGGCTGAAGCACATACTCAAAGACTGAGGCCTAATCACAGACTAGAACACTTCTCCCACCCAAACCCCAGCCTCATCATCGTGTCACTAAAGGCCTTCTGATCAAATTTCCTTTTACCCAGGTATCACATTAGACTTTTGACAAAAAATTATAAGGCATTTTTTAAAAGGGATAAAAATGCAATTTGAAGAGTCAGAGCAAGCATCAGAACCTGACACTGATATGGCAGGTATTTTGAGATTTTGAGGCTGGGAATTAAAAAATGAGTATGATAACTATGATAACACCTCAAATGGAAAAAAGAGACAACATGCAAGGACAGATGGGTAATGAGACCACAGGCAGAGAAGTCCTAAGAAAGAATAAAAAAGAAATGTTAGAAATCACAAGTGAGCATCCTTTCCATTTCATTAACCATCTTAAGTGGGATATATCTCAATGTTTTCAGCTGAATCACCATATTCTCTTTCTAGGATCTAGTGATATCAAATTTTAGTTATCTTCTTTCACTCATCCTTATTATATGAAAGACAATGAAGTATTATAAAAGCATAATTTTGTTATGCAAGTGTGACTGCTAGTAACAACACTTTCTCATCAAAGGCCAAAACTCTAGAAGGCAAGAATCCTTGGTAACATTTGTATGCCTGTGTCCTTTGAGTCTGTGGCCCATGACAATGCATGGATTTACTATTTTCATAATAAATCTACAATTCTGTCAAAAGCTGGTATGGATACTTTATAATCTGCTGAAAAATTGGAACCCAAAAAGCTGCCTGAGGTAAAACAGACATTTCCAAGAGAGAGAATGGGAGTGAAAGCCAAAAAAGGTTGTCTCAAGTTCAATCACTTTAGTTTAGACTGGTCTTTTCTCACTGTTTCTACTTTGGTATGTTAATATAAAAAATATAACTGCCTTATGATTTAATTTCTACTTTCCACCAAGGTCAAGCCACTAGTGCATATTAGAGTTCTTTATTCTACCTCACAGAAATTACAATTATTTAGAGAAATACTGAATTTAGATTTCCAAGTTTAGATTTCCAAGTCAAGTAGGCAAGACGGAAGATCTTCAAGGGAAATACTACTTCTGGATTTCCTAAATACCCACAGTTCCTTTCATTTTCACCATTGCTAAGGTACAAATGAGAAGTAATTACTTGGCATGTGTGTGTTGGGGGGTGTGAGTAGAAGGGAAGAACTGAGTTTACCTGCACGTACTGTTCCAAAACTGTGGCTGCATCCCTGTGTTTGCTCTGCTCAACTAGCTTTCCTGCAAAGACAATAGCAAGCATTTGACTCTCATGGTTGGCTAAGATCAGCATTACCAAAACACAAGTGGAAATGGTTTTCAGTGGTACTATTTAAATCAAAATGGTCTCCTACATATTGGAGCTTGAGCTCTACAGAGTATACACTCAAAATGAGCTGCTTTAAAATAGCATTTTCAAAAGTGTTCCCCAAGATTGTTGCAAAAACAATGAAAGGCAGGACCAAGAAACCATTTTCAGGTCAAGAATGTTTGTGAAGCACTGGGTAAGACAGAGTTAACCATTCTTTTGCTGATGTGCTTCACTATTATGTCTTTGATGCGTGTGCTCAGTCATGTCTGACTCTTTGCAACCACGTGGACTATAGACCGCCAGGCTCCTCTGTCCATGGGATTTTCCAGGCAAAAATAGTAGAATGGGTTGCCATTTCCTCCTCCAGGGGATCTTCCTGACTCAGGGATCTAACCTGCATCTCCTGCACTGGCAAGCAGATTCTATACCACTGAGCCAGCATTATGTCTATTTTGCATCAAGCAAAATATTAATACTTTGTGAATTTCTATAAGAGAGGAAGGAATACCAGGGTCCTATCCTAAAGTGGCAATTAAAATCTAAATTTAGCATGGGATGTGAAAATCACATATAGTCAAAATCATTCATGAAAAAATGCTTACAGAGTCGTTCATAAGGAAACTGACCTAGCACTCTCACGAATCCATTTCTTCCTCTAATAGGAAGATGCTACTGTTTCTTTGGTTGAGCACTAGATGGGGGTAGTTGGCATTTGTCAGGGGTGTGACAGTATCTTTAAATCTGAGAATCACTCTTGGTCCAGTTGACTGGGAGTGTGCCTCGACGAGAGGCACATAGAAACTAAAGTTAACTAAGGGGCTGGCAGACTCTGTCTTCCATTTCATGCGAATTCCAGGGCATATTATTTACAAAACCAGGAAGTCTCCTCCACTAAATGGTTATCTTTTCTCTCTTTTGCTGACTTGTGTAAACTGCCCAAGTTACATGTACAATGAGTGACTCCACCTTATAAAATTTCCCAAAAATCTTTCACCACTCTCTTCTCCACCTTTTTCTGCTAAACATCTGGGAAAACTAGGTATATTGCACTATAAGGCATGAAAAACAGGAAGCTAAAAGTTGCAAAAAATGTAAGATAACAGAGACCCCAAGAACAGAGCTGGAAAGTACAAGCTACAAACAAGTTTCTAGAGCAGAAATATCAATGGAGCCAGAATGAAGAGTTAATAGGACTCAAATAAGAACTTCTCAATACTTGTAAAAAGACTTCAGCTTAGAAATTGAAAGGGCTTATAGAAGAGTCTACAGAACCAATATGCTGAGCTACCAGGGAAGCCCATCTAATAACCAGAAAATGTTGGAAAAAGTCATAATCTCACACGTTTTTTTAATCCCAAGGGGGGAAAAAACAAAGTGAAATAACTAAATAGAATATGTTCGTATGTTTAACAGACTATAATTTGAAATTTTTTTCAGGACTGTTTTGGGGGAAATCATAACAATATTTACAAGACTCTTGAAAAATAGGGGGAAAATATACCAACTACTCACTTCAAGCATGATTGAGAGGGCCAGAGCCCCACCTGTCTCTTCGCCTGGGCACTCTGGGGATGCCACTCCACTCTAAGAAATCAGACTCTGGAAGAGCCTCGCCTCTGGTTCAGGTCTCACACCCTGAAACAGCTAAACTGGCTCTGCTTTCAGACTGCTTATACATTTGGCCTCATTTCTGAAAACCGCCATTATGTTCTCCAGCAATCTACTGTCTGTATTTGAATGGCTCCATCTCAAAATTCATCTTTACATTCTTACAGGGCACCTGGCTCCCCAGCTACACTGTACCAAGTGTACCTGTAAGCTGTGAGTTTCGGTGAATGAGGTGGAGAAGGAGGGTTAGCTAGGTCATTGCCAACTTAAGAGTTCAGCGTTCCTGGGACTTCCCTGGTGCTGTTGTGGCTAAGACCCTGCACACCAATGCAGGGGGCCCAGGTTTGGTCCCTGTTCAGGGACCTACAGATCCCACACGCCACAGCTAAGACCTGACGCATCCAAATAACTAAAAATATTAATAAATAGTGTTAAAATAAAAAGCATACTCTCATGACTCCAGTTTTTCCCCTCCCCGAGGACTGGAACACAGATACGGAGAAAATCCAGCTTCAACCACTGCCGAAGAGACAGCAGACCTGCACCGTGGGAGGAGCTGCCAGGGCTGAGAGAGAGACGGGAGCTGCTTTCCCTACTGGGCCATCGTGTCTGGGGACTCTTGTAGCAGCTCAACTTTTACTCCACCTAGTAATCCATTCCGAATTAACTTTCATCAGTGCCTGTAAGAGGGCATCAAAGTGTGCTGCCTTACGGGGTATTTGCAAAAATTCCAAACAAAACCAAAGAGACGCAAACCCTCGGGGGAGTTCTCGTTTCCGTGCTTACCTGCCAGAGTCCTGCCCAGGCCAGCCAGCTGCTCCGTGGTCAGGTGAAGCTGGGCCGCCGCACAGAGCGCTTGCTGCCAGCTGCCACAGGCCAGAAAGGCGCCGAGCGCCTTCTCGTGAGCGCCGCAGCGGGCAAACACGAGGCCTGCCGGCTCGTGGAGGCACTCTTGCAGCAGGTGCTCCCCGTAAGCAATGCTGATGTCCTGGGACAGAAGGAGACACGGGGTCAGTGAGGAAGGGTGGTAACTTGTTTTTTGAATCTCCAAGGAAGTCTGTCGTGGTCATTATACTTGAAATTCCCTGGAATTACTTAGAAAAACCCTGTGGATGACTAGTGAATTCAATCTTCTTTTCATTCAAAACCTTACTGAGGATATGTTGTTTATTCATCCAACAACTGCTGCTGCTGCTGCTAAGTCGCTTCAGTCGTGTCTGACTCTGTGCGACCCCATAGACGGCAGCCCACCAGGCCCCCCCGTCCCTGGGATTCTCCAGGCAAGAACACTGAAGTGGGTTGCCATTTCCTTCTCCAATGCATGAAAATGAAAGTGAAGTCGCTCAGTCGTGTCTGACTCCTAGCGACCCCATGGACTGCAGCCTGCCAGGCTCTTCTGTCCATGGGATTTTCCAGGCAAGAGTCCTGGAGTGGGTTGCCATTGTCTTCTCCGCATCCAACAATTACTGAGTACTATTTAGGGAAGTGGGAGTAAGACAGCAATGCAAAAGTAAAACAAGGGAAAAAAAAAACCCAGCCAACCAACCAAACACAAAAAAATACTAACAAGAACCACGACCAAGCTCCTGCCCTGGTGGTGAAAGAGAACATACTTTATAAACACGGCAGGGTCAACAATATAATGGCAGACAGTGGGAAAGGGACACAGTGATGGGAATGCTGCTTCAGAGGGCTGTGAGGAGAAGCCACGTTTAGAGTCAGGGGAGAGTATTCCACGCCAAGAGCACAGAAGACAGCGTGGCGATCAGGCAGCAGTGGGTGTGGAATACACAGGACAGAATAACAAGGCCAGTATGACTGGAGCAGAGCGAGCACAGGAGAGGAACAGATAATGAAAATGAGAGCAAAGAGGCGGCCTTTGGCCAAATTCTCTGTTCCCCAAGCTCAGCATCAGGCAGGGCAACAGAGGGATATAACACGGGGTCCCCACCCTTAAGGGAACCCACAGCCTGGTGGGGGAAAAAGAATCAGTACATAGCAGATTGATGAATGCCATCCCCAAGGCAAGAATGAGGTGTGCTGGGAGCTCAGTGCTTGGCACCTCATCCAGGACTGGTTTTCTGGCAGAGGAGAGCCGAGAGTTTAGAAGGACGGGGAGGACTGGAGGACGGGGAGGAAGAGGGCCGGCAGAGGCGGCCGATGCTCGAGAGGAGGCAGCGGCCAGATCGCAAAGGATGTGTGTAATTTGTAGACAAACTGAAAATGGTGGTGATGATGGCATGGGCTCCATACCGCAGGTTCTTGGGCAAAGTGCTTCCTCATTTAAAAACTGTGCGCAACACCTATCAGGCTGTTCTGAGAATTCATGTAGCTGATAAGAGAAGTATCTAGCATATGAGAAAAGCTAAACAGATGTCTGTTTGTTTAAACAAACAAACCAAACTTCATGCATAATTATACAGGAAAGATGCACTATTCAGGATGCTCAGTGAGGTTGGGCTGGAGGGGGCAGGATGGAAGCCGCCATGGTACTTCCAATGAGGATCCAGCGACAATGCCTAGGTTTCTGGCCTGAGCAACTTCTTCACGAGAAGAACAGGTGAGGGCTATTCTCTCGGATAAATTCAAGATAAGGGTAATTAGTCTGAAGATTAACTTTGAAACCAAGTGTTAGGGACACAGGATCCTCACCCCTTTCCAACAGAAGCACAGAGCAAAATCGGGAGCTCTCATTTCACGTTACACACCTTGTACTGCTGTGAGTTCGGTGGGTAGAGCTTCAGAGCTTCGTTATACAAGTTTTTATCTTTTATTAAGTTTAAGCATTCTGGGAAGTACTCCGGTCCTATAGGAATAAGATTCATACACACACAAGCTTAAGACTGGGGAAGCGTAATGGATTTCATCTCTACCACTGGTCCTTACATAAAATCAACAAGGGAGCTCTTTAAGACCTGCATTAATTAGAGTATCTAGAGAAATGGAATGCAGGAATGTGAACTTTAATGAGCACCGCTGCAGATTCTGAAATTTGAGAAGCACTAATTGGGATCAGAGTTCTGCTCAAAAGGAATTTCACACGGCCCCTGAGAAATGACCATCCAGCCCAGTGTTTTCTCAGCCTTTTTAATAAGAACCATCTAGGGAGCTTATCAACCATATACACATGCCTGAGTCCCAGCCCAGCCCAGGTGAACCTGATTCTCCAAGGAAGACAGATCTGAATGCAAACACCTCAGGTGACTCGTCTTGCCCCTGTCTCAGCCTTCAGGGAAAAATCACGAATACTGAAGGCTGAGGTTTCGGCACCAGTCAGGCACGGGCAGCGGAACACCCGGCATCGCGCTGGTTCTACTTCATCCGACTGCCAGTCAGAACTGTGTCCATCAGGGCACAGAAGGCATGGCCACTCAGAGGGGTGTCTGCACACACCATGAGAAGAACGAAGCATCAACCAATTTTGATTTTGAGACATGGAAGTGAATTTCAAAGGTGATCACTCAACTCAAAAGGATCTGAGCTATGAGCCTCCCCAAGCTCACTCAGAGACATCTGCTGTACCCTCAGCTTATCAAAACTGACAAAAATCAGGTCTGCAGGCACCGTTATTAACATATTCAGGTGTAAAAACTGACATCAGTCTGTCTAAACTAACATCTGATTTCAACTTATACCCTACCAAAGAATATTTGAACAGAAATATACTAACCCTCACACTTACCACATTTGCTTAGGTGGCCAATGGCTTTTTCATATCGTTTCAAATATTTATCTATAGTGAACCGCTGATAATTCGTTTCCATTTTCTTAAGTGTATTCAGAAATGGAAGATATTCTTTGGGATCCTAAAAAAATTTTTTTAAAGGGTAATTATAGTGCCAGTGATTATACTTACTTTTACAAATAAAAATATATAGTAATTATAGCAATAAATCAAAAGCTACATCATTTTCAAAATATATGAAAGTGAAACTGTTAGTTGCTCTGTTGTGTCCAACTCTTTACACACCCATGGACTGTAGCCCATCAGGCTCCCCTGTCCAAGAAATTCTCCAGGCAAGAATACTGGAGTAGGTAGCTATTTCCTTCTCCAGGGGATCTTCCTGACCCAGGGATCAAACCAAGGTCTTCTGCACTGCAGGCAGACTCTTTACCATCTGAGCTACCACAGAAGCCCTCTTCAAAATATTTTATATCAATTATATAAAAAATCAAACTAAATAAAACCACATTTGGAAAAAAATGCCTTAACACATGGGTGTTCTTAGTTTCTTAGTTATGACTAACTCTTAGCTAAATCTCACAATACCAATTGTTTCATAGGTTACTATGGAAAACAAGGTTCCCTCATTCTCAAGAAACTGAGAATCTAGTAGAAGAGATAGACGGGTACACCGGCAGGCACTGGGTGCCGTAGAGGCACATGGGAAGGCCATCTCATTCAGTCCCGGATGCTGGGCAGGGAGGCAGCAAGAATGGTTTACTGGAAAAAGTCACCTGGGCTTCCTTCAACCAAGACGAGTGAGAATCAGCCAGGTGAACAGAGAGGATGAGAGTGCCTGCAAAGGTATGTGGCAGTTGGGAGACAAAAGTACTGCCTTACATCCACTGCAGAGAAAGGGGGATAACATCAAGAGAGGAGAACTGAGAGATACACAAGTCCCAGATCACTGAAGAGATTTTAAGCATATAGCCTCTGAACTTCTTCCTAGGGGGAAGGGGGAGCCCATAAACAATTGTAAGCAGAGGAATGGGGATCAAACTTTCCTCTTTGGGAAGGTCATTCTGGCAAGAGCAAAGAAAGGAATGATAAGGACTGAAACTGAGGGTGCAAAAAAATAAAAAAGAACAGATAAAAAATGTGCAAACCAGAGGTGCTCAAACTTTTGGACCATAGCAAGTCAAGGTGAGACAAAGAGGCCTCGAACCCTTCTATTCTCCAGGTTCCCAATTTCCACTGGGAAAAGATGCTCCATGATAAAGCTGGACTGGAATATAAATCACCTGCTGTATTTCCTTTATAAGAGGAGAATTTGTTCTCATTTTGGCTTGTAAGCTTGAAAACAATCAAATAGCTTTATTTCAATTGTTCAATCTAGTAATCAAAACACTCTGATAAGCCCAAAACAGTGACAGAGAATGAACCTGTAAGTATGGACCCTGGAGACTCGCAGATCTGCCTGGAGGCCTGTACTCACAGCTTTAATTTCAGCCCAAACTCTGCACTGTCAGGAGCACTGCTTCACACTATCACGTTCGCATAAACAAAAATACCAACTGTGTTGAAGGAGTAACTCCACATACCTTCTGTGACTTCTCAGCTACCATGAGGACCAAATCAAAGTCATAGGTCCCAAGAGAATGGTCATATAATTCATTAACATCTACCAGAAGCAGCAAATATTTCAGGGCCTCTTCGGCACTCACAGCGTCAGGGACTGGGGGATCATTTCCTGTCCATGTGTAAGGAAACAGAACAAAATCATTTGGGGAAAAAACCCACATACCTAGCAGCATGACCAAAAAGAGAAAGTAACACATTTTCCTGACAAAAGTGGACATCAGACGGAAAACAATTCTTTGACGATTTTGTACATGCTTTGTAGGGTAGCACTCAAAAAAAAAAACGGACCCAGGTCTTAAAGTGGAGACCAAAAGGCCACAGGCTGAACTGGGGATGTGGTGCTATTTCCTAGTCAGGGCTATCTCCCGAAGAATGAAGACCCGATGTCAGTCGGGACCCCGATACACACAGACTGTCAACATGTCTCTACCTTGAAGTTCGTGTACCTTCTGCAGCGCAATCTCCAGTTCTGGGGGAGTTTTCTTCACATGAGAGGTGAGTATTGACAGGCAGTACCTGCAGTGGTCGGTGAAGGACAGCACAGTAAGAACGATGAACAAGCTGAAGAAAAACTAGTGCGCATCTCTGTTATCCAAAAGATGCCAACTCAGGACAGCACACCTACTTGTGAGGGTTTACGTTCTCCATGGCTGCTCTCATAGCATCGCAGATGAGGTCTACTTTTTTCTCATCAGGATCGCTGGAGAGTGGAACAGTGCTGGCAACTGGTGGAGGATACATGGTCTTTGTAACATCTTCTTCCCTAAGAACAAGTGTGTATTAAAAGATCATAAACCAAACACATGTCCCAGCTATCAAACTACTAACACATATGTAGGAGTGTTGATGAGATAATAAATAAAAATGCTTTTGGAAGGCAGTTAATTCTAAAAATATTCATATCTAGTGAAATATGGAGAAGCTCACTGAGAAGTGAAACATATCCACAGAAGACTTAAATGGTGACGTTCGTAGATGTTACAGCGATATGGCCCATATCATATGGGTCCAGGCCCGGTGTCCACCCACAGGAGAGTGAGCAGCTGGCTGCGCATGTTTACACTGTGGCATGCAGCGCCTCCCTGGCGCCTCAGGCGGCAGAGGGTCTGCCTGCAACGCACAAGACTCAGGTTCCATCCCTGAGTCGGGAAGGTCCCTGGAGAAGGGAACCGGCAACCCGCTCTAGTATTGCTGCCTGGAGAATTCCATGGCGAGAGGAGCCCAGTGGGCTACAGTCTCTGGGGTCACAAAGAGTTGGACACGACTGAGTGACTAACACTTTCACTTTCTTTTTCATGGCATATTGCTGAACAATAAAAAAGAATTAACTAGTGATACATGTAAAAACATGGATGAATCTCCAGATAACATGCTGAATGAAAGAAGCTTTACTTACACAGAAAAGTCAATACTATGATATACCATTCATTTCTAGGAAGTTCCTGAATAGGCAAAATTGATCTTCAGTGAAGAACTCAAAAAAGCAGTTGCCAAAAGGGTGGGGAAAGAATAAATGCAAAGGGATTTGGAGGAACTTTCTGAGAAGGAAATGTTCTCTATCTTGATAGGGGCCAGGACTACATGGAAGCATACATTTGTCAAAACTCAGTGAATAGTACTTGTAACCTGTGCATTTTGCTATAGATAAATTTGACGCGGAGCGGGTGGGACCTGTACACACAGAATACACTCTTAGTTAATGTCACACAAGGCGAAGTACTGACAGGGAAAGTGGATTTAAAATTGTCTAAAATTATCTTGAAATTTATTTAAAATAAAGATGAACGGTGGATGGACAGATGGTAGATAGTGATAAAGCAAATACATGAAAATATGAACTGTAGAATCTAGGTGATGGTATAGGATGCTCACTGGACAACTGTCTCAACTTTCTTATATGTTCAAATTTTTCATTTATAAACTTAGATAAAAGTCATTGCAGAAAAAGAAGCCATTTATTTCAATTAATAGTTTTTATATGTATACCTAAATATAAAGTCAAAGAATAATTTACGTGACATGTTTTAAAGTTTCAGTTTTAAAAAGAAGGGAAAAAAGTAAAAATCCAGTGTATGTGGCATCTAAGAGTTAGAGATTTAAAAAATTATATTGAAAGTAAATTTTCTCCTCTATTTATCTGTTCAATTTCCTTAACCAGAAAAGAGAAAATTATGGATATGATACTCATGAACTATTCAAAATACTTACTTCAATTCTGTGAAAAATAAATTAATATGATTCACAGAGTCTATCTGTCTTATGAAGGTTTCCACATTTTCAAGAAACACCTACCCAAAAAAAGAAAAAAAAAAAAAAAACAAAGACAAAACATTTTAGTTCAGATCATATTCACTCAAGCCTAAAGTACACTATGATAAATACCAGATTTAGAATGTTACCTTAGGGTTATGATCGTGAATCAGATTGAGATTAATTCTCAGTTTTCTCATGCATTCAAATGCTTCTTTAAACATAAGTCTGGGGAGAGACGGAAAATGGAGAGAGGGGGGCATTTCACAAAAACTCAGCTCCTTGGACCTAGCACATTTTCATAAGGATATAAACCAGTTAAAATTAAGACTACAGCCCAACTACTACTGGATTTCTGCTCTGAAATCATAGAATGAAAAAGAATCAGGCACCAGGTTCATTTACTTCCTAAATGGTGTGACGACTTAGTCATCAAGGCCACCCAAGGACTTGATCCCCACACACTCACACAAGAAAATCTTTATGGAACTTAGGGCTATCTTCTTTTTTAACAAAATGTTAGTAAACATCTATCTTTCCAAAATAAACTTTCCCCCAAATTCAAAGATTCAAACAATGGATCATTTCCTTCACAACAGTGGCTCAGGTATTTTAGGGCCATAGGACTTTTTATAAGTTGGATGAAAGCCTTGGACCTTCTGCCCAGATAAATACACAGATACAGGATAGCATAAAATTGCCCTGGGTTCACAGGCCATCTAAGGTCCATATGGATCACCCTGGGCTAGGAAGCTGTTTCATACAACGAGCCTCATCATTCCTTCCGCTAGGAATGTCTTCTACACCATACAATTTAAGAATCTACGTGCCAAAAGAAGAAAGCCTCTGAGAATCTGATTGAAGATATCTCTAAAGAAATATTTAAATACTTTTTAAGTTTTAAAAATCTTAACAGAAAGACTTACTTGCTGCCTTCACACACAACATAACACATAACATAACATAACACATAACATAACAATAAGCTAACTAATCATATACATGGTACTTACTTGTCCAACCACTTTCGAATCTGAGCTAAAACCAGGGCTCGATGATGAACAACTTCTAAGTTTCCCCTTGGCATCTTAAAATAAATAAATCAAATCAATAACGTGTTTAATTAAACAGAAAAAATTTAAATACCCAGAATATACAACTTTACCTAACTCTTCTTCGAGAACTAACACAACACTGTAAAATGAGCACATTTTTGGCAAAATCTAGTTGTGCTCAAAATTTACTTTGACTTTTAAGAGGTTTCCCTCTTAGCTTACTGGGAAGGGCCTGTTTTAACACTCCTTTGTATAAAGCTAATAAAGAACTTAGCAAGGAAAGGCTTATAATAAATTAATACAAATGATAAAATATAATCCACAAGAACTGTCTGGTATTTACTGCCAAACGACAATCAGAAACACAGCCTGAAAAATCAGTGTACCTGCAATATAAGCTTTGTGTCTTGAGGCACAACAGTGACGATGCGTGAACCCCTCTCCACCTTCCGCAGAGACTCGCCATTAGGCACGTGGCTGCTGCTCAGACCTGCTTGCAACGCTAGAGACACCACAGACCAAGCCTTGAGAATCACTGTCAAGACAAGCTACTCCCCATTAACTGCAGCTGAAACAGCACGTTATCCGAAGGAGAAGGAAGTGATTAATAATGAGGCCGGATTGCTCTGTCACTCAGCCTCAAGACCATCAGCCTTTCAGATAAAAAGTTCACCCCCGGATCGTGCCCTCTCTTACAGAGCCCTCACACATGATTCACAAACACAACTTCTCAACTGACATGGAAACCAGTGGGAGGACTGGGCAGCTTCTCTGTCTTAGCTTTATCAGCACACTCTAATCACATCAGTGAAAGATTCCATTTTCAAGTTAGAAGCAAAGAAAACAAGTGGGCCATTTCTTTCTTAATAACAGAACTGTGTGCACGCACACACATACACATGGGAGAGGGGGATGCAGGAAATCAAGGAAAAACTGCAACCAATTTCCTACAAACCACAAGATGGAGGCCTTCAGATGTACAATGGAGGGTGGCCACAAAGAAGATTGAGCGTATTGCCAGTTTGCCATCTACATAGTAATTGAAAGTAAAATATGAGTTAAGGAGTTCACTGAAAATTTTTTTATCAGTATGCTGCTTTAAGGAAGGACCTCCCACTCTTTGATAACTGGCGTGGAATGATTTAACTGAGATACTGAGATTAGAGGCTAAGTAAATGAACTTGACATTTTCTCCAATCTAGGACTCCAGGATAAAAAGCCAAAGTACATGACAGACATAAAAGTCATAGAGACTTCAAAGGACAAATGATATTAGAAGAAGGACTATTTTCTATCTTTACACTGAAAACTTACTTTTCAATGAAGCATCTCTCAGGCAAAAGCACTGGCAGGTATGGGAATGAGTTGTCACCAATAAAAACTCATCATATACAGCAAATGATGTGATATTTGATGCAACCTACAATAGGTTGGAGAGGCAAGGCGGAGAGTTAGTTATATTATTTGGAATCAAGATGGAAAAAGATCCAGCATCAAAACAAGCCATGATACCTCAGCATCATTGACGAAAAAGCGACATCTGTCAGTCAAACCAAGGATACATTCCTGCAAAAAAAAAATAAAATATGAAATTACCAACAATTCTGCTTCTCTGGTAACTCAGTGGTCAAGGATACTCTTGCAATACAGGAGATGTGGGTTTGATCCCTGGGTTAGGAAGATCCCCTAGAGAAGGAAATGGCAACCCACTCCAACATTCTTGCCTGGGAACTCCCATGGACAGAGGAGCCTGGTGGGCTACAGTCTATTGGCTCTCAAAAGAGTCAAACACAACTTAGCACTAACCAAACTAGTGAAACCAAATTTTTTGGTTACTGTTATATGGTTCTACTGTCCTATGATTTCACATAAGTCCTTGCAATCAGGACTCAAGATGCCTAAGGTGGTTGGTCCAGGGCAAAGTGATCTATGATGCCATCCAATTCCTCGGAAGCCTTGACATTTCTGTCTCCTACACATCTCAAACATATCACCTTTCACCCCTCACTGCCTCCACTCCAACAGTCACTTCCACTCTCGTCCCTTTCAACATACTCCCACTGGGCAGCCAGAATAACCTTTCCAACCATGAAGCACATCACATTACTCCCTGATTAATATCAATTTCTCAGTCTTTGTTAAGTTAGTAAATGCATACTCCTCTGCGTCTAGCCATTGCTTCCATTAGGTTCCTTGAATAAGCTGAGCTCTAAGTTTATTTACAATATGCACAGTTCTTCCTCCCTGAAAAATTCTCCCTTTCTCAGAGATAGAACTTTCTTTTTCTCCACACCTCAGCACATATACCACCACCTCCTAGAGACTTTCCCAGACCACCAGAAGTTGGCCTCTGCATCCTCACAGCTACCATCCTCTAATTAGCCTCAATCAATCCTCTTGGTACTCTCATTGACTTCACTCTCCTATCAGAGGGGATGGCCATACCCATATTGCAAGATTAAAACTTCCACGAGGGCAGGAACTAGTTGGCAGTTTTCTCTAACCACTGCACCCTACCTCCTGCACAATTATAGGCAATTCTAATATTTGATGACTAATAATTTACTCAATACTCATTTCAAGATTACCTTTCTGTTGTGCCCAAAAGTTACTAATAAGACTAATTTTGTTAGTTCTGTACGTGTTCTGTTTTGAATGTTCTATACAACTGGGGATAATTCTGCCAAATGCATTTTTTCTATTTTTGAGTCTATACCTCCAAGGAAAGGAATCAACTAACTACTATTGACACATGCGAGGCAACCTCTTAAACCTATTTCATAAACTGAGAAGCTGAGGTTCAGGAAAGTGAGGATCTTCTCATTGTTGCCTTGAGATTTACCAGATACTCAGGTCCACTTTCAAAGCACACACTCTTTCTACTTAATACTGTCAGCTCCTGGGTCACTGCTCCATGAGGTCAATTCTTCTGCCTTATGTTCACTTACCTCTCCTCCAATCATGGCCAATTCAGTCTGCGTGCACAGGTACGGAAACCGAACAGGAGAGCCACCCAGGTTCTTCCACGGTTCAACGGCCAGAGAGGGCGACTCTGCAGGTTTGGCAGATGAGGTTTACCAAAAGCTGATCTGCTCTTTGTGAAAAACTCTCCCATCAGTGCTTGCTAAAACACTTAACATGTAACTTAAATCATTCTCCAAATGTGTTTTGGAAACTCATGAGAATAATCTGGTTTATTGCAAGAGAAAATACAGGTAGAACACACATGCTGATTCTATTCTAGAGATTAAGGATTTCCAGAATAGTTGAAAGACCTAATAATCCATGTGGCACTTGTAAAACACTCCCAAGTACACTTTCTCAAGATTTAAATATGTATGTAAGTCATAAACATGTTTTCCTAACTTTCTGATACTCACCCCAAAGGTACTTAAATATCTGGCCACCAGCCACCTGCAGGGCTACTGACTTGGTCTTGGGGTTGCAACACAGACTGATTATGACCCCATCCACTGTCACAGATGAACTGAGAAGAGTGGAAAAAAAAAAAGGAGATGAAGAAAACATGAATAGACCATTTTTCTCAAAAGCAGTGACAATTCACTCATTTTGCAAAACAGAAAAAGAAGCAATTTTCCTCTGGTGCTGCACTGCCTCGTTCAATACAACAATAAACATGTTTATATACATACGAACACACATATGTTTATATACACACTAACAGATAAACTACTGCAAGCACAAGCCCAGTTAATGCAATTACCTGTCAATGTGACATATTTTCCACAATGTCAGTAAGCCAGGTGTGAGGTCATTAGTCCTATTCTGGAAGCAACTTATGCAACTTATTGTGAATTACAATTTGCTGCCTTCAGTAGACAATATAGTGTCAATATTTATCTGTCAATATCGGGTTGGCCAAAAAGTTCATTCAGGTTTTTCTATACCATTGTGCCCAAAACCGGAATGACCTTTTTGGCCAACCCAATACAAACTGGATTAAGTAAAGCAGTCAATCTGTAGGAAAGTGAGCCTATTCAGTATCTCTATGGCTACTGTATGTATCCCTAGAAATCTGTGGGCCTCATTAATGGGAAGAAGGACAACTGTTAATGCTATTATATTTTTTTCTGAGTCAATGAACCAAAAGTAGACATGTCTGAAAGGAAGTGGAGGTAGCAATAAAAGCAAGTGGTGCCAACGCTAACATATATTCAGAAGTTTTAATCAATCTACCAAAAAAAAAAAGCCACAAATTTGGAGAGGATAAATTATCTGGGAAGTCAAGGGAATGGACTCTGGAGGTGCACTGCTGGGCCTGGATCCTGGCTCCACCTCCATTATCTCAGTAAGTTACTTAAACTGCTCTGTGCCTCAGCTGTAAAGTGATCAACAGTACATGTCAGAGACGTGTTATGAAAAGTAAGTGAGTTAACATAGGGAAAAGCACTTAAAAGAGTACCTTTTACAAAGCATAAGTTATAGTAAATGTTAACTATGAAGAGCTATAAGCTGATGGTGGGACTTTATATTTATCAAACACATTAATATTTTATATGAATGAAATAATCTTTTTTGAGAAACAGAAGTCAAAGCAGCAGAAATGTATTTTAAATGACTTTTCACTTCCTTTACAGCAAATGAGATAATGGCATTTACCGTTCACAAGATAATGATAAAAAATTTCAATTTTTGTATAGTAGATATATGCATAATTTAGGCATTTCTAATGTCAATTGCTCTGTTTTCTAAAGGGAGCCCTTGTTAAGTATGCATGTAGCTAGAACATATTCTGCATCTAGACATATTCACAAAATTTTTTTAAAAATATGAAGCATTATTACTCAAAGATTAGAAGGTAATAACAGCACTGGAGTATGTTTCATGAGTACAATAAAGAAAGGTTCCTACTTTTGCAACAACGGTTTTCAGGATTTAAAGCCCATCAATGAACCTTTAATTACATGTGAATCTAGGGATTATTATCAGTGTATACCTAAGGTGCTGAGTTTTGACACTGGAAACCTGAGGATTTCTCAGAGCTTCCCAGACAGCTCTGATGCACAATAGGGCTCACAATACAGAAGAGAGCATTCATTAATGAGACCTGTTAGGTGACGAAGATGCAGTGAGGAATCAAAATGAAACTCAGGGTCAGGGAGCTGGGAAACTTTAGCAAACAAAAATAGAGGAGACTTTATAGTAGTACACACAGTCAAGTGCCAAACAAAATTACAGAAGAGGAGGCTAGAAGTATTTTGAAGTCACTACATCAAAATAACTTTAACCCTGAATATTCACTAGAAGGACTCATGCTGAAGCTGAAGCTCCAATACTTTGGCCACCTGATACAAAAGGTGAGCCGATTCACTGGAAAAGACCCTGATGCTGCGAAAGATTGAAGGTGTAGAACAAAGAGACGACAGAGGATGAGATGATTGGATCGCATCACCAACTCAATGGGAGTCTGAGCAAGCTCTGGGAGATGGTGAAGGACAGGGAAGGGCATGCTGCAGTCCATGGGGTCGCAGAGTCAGACATAACTGAGTCACTGAACAATAACATCAAAATGAAGTGCAAATGTAGAGATCTTATAATTGATGAGTTGCTAATTCTCCTAAGCTAATAATTACTTTCTAGAAGGTAAGTATAAGTTGAATTAAAAGTTTTAATATACCTTAAAAACATTTTGCCTCATCTACTGGCATCTGTGTTATTTTTTACCACTTTCTGGTGCATTTTAGTTTATATTTTGACAGAGCTAAAAATCAGACTTAACGTATGTGTACAAAAAGAAGCAATCACCCTTCAACCCTGCTCTCTGAATGCAAAAAAAAAAAAACAACTCCAATGCTCACAAAAGACAAAAGCCCTGCATCTATGTGCTTATGAGCATGCGGAATATAGGGAACTGTTCTGATACCTGATGTTGAGCTGTCCCTGCTCGTCGTCCGTCTCAGAAGGGGCCACAGTCAGATGGTGAACAACAGACTGGGGGCTGGACTGACTGTGGCTCACGGCCAGGAAAATGTCTTCCTGAACCCAGGTGAGAAGGCTGAGCTTCAGTGGGTTTACTTCTTCAGCTTCACTGCCCTCAATCTGAATTCTGTTTTAAATATTGAAGAATTTCCAAAGCATGAATAAAACCTTCACATCACTGAAGTTGTCCTGAATGGACAATGCACTGCTTTCTATACAGTCAAATCCTCATTATTTGGAGGGACAAAACCTAAGGTAACGCCCAATACTAGAAAATCCAAAAATAATAATGCTTACCTGGCTTAAGAATATGTTTTTCTGCTATTTAAAATTAAGTTTCTTACACTCTTGAGATTTTTAGATCTGAAGAAACCACTTCAAGAAACTGATTACACAAGAAAAACTGACTGTTCTAGGCCCTAACGAATAAAGTCCAGCAGTTTTTCACCGCCACCGCTCACCAGCATCCAAATAGTCAGCAGGTATTGAGGTCTCAGCTGAATGCATCCTTTCCTAAGCGTCTCATAGAAAAATGACTGATTAGCTTAAGAGATGATTTCTCTGTCTCTAATGCCTTCCTCCTGTAGCATTTAAACACTGGTGGAGGGCCTTGTTTTTGCTACTTCAAATGGGAACTCATGACGGCTACTTCCTGCCATTCAGCTCAAGCAGCAGATCTGGGTGCTCACTGACGACGCTGGGTTACCAGCCTGATCTTCCCACTCAGTCAGCTCTTCCTGGACTCAAATCACTCCACCGCAGTGCAGCCCCACGCCTCTGGTTCTCACTGACACTCTCCTCCCCGCCATGCCCAACAGTCTCCATCCTTCTCTGGCCATCCTCAACCTATCTCTTTTTCAAGGTTCAAGATAAGTATTCACTGAATACATGCACATGTATAGCTGAGACCCCTCACTGTTCTCTTCAAACTAGCACAACATTGTTAGTCAGCGGTACTCCAGTACAAAATAGAAAGTTTAAAAAATAAGTAAATACAAAATTTAAAAAGGTAAATTTATTCATGCCCTTCATGAAATCTTCTCTAAATGACTTACAGCTATCCTCCTCACAATTTTACAAAATTAAACCACATTCTCAACTGCCTCACACTTTCCAGTTTGTCTTAAATCTGTCCTCTCTTTCCAGTCCGTGACATGAAATAATCCATGTACATGTTCTTTGAAAAACTACTAAGCATTGTACAGTCAGTTCCCAAATCATACAGAGGTTGGAAACATTTTCATTTATTAAATATAATGCATATATTTAAGAATTATATATTAAGTATTAAATTCAGTTATTTGTTCATTATTCCCCATTAATTTAGGAATAAATGCTCCCGAAAGACAAAGTAGTACAGTAGTTAAGAACACAGATGTATTAAATAGAATAGAATCAAACTCTGGATTTTCACAGAAATGAACTCATAATTACTATATCCAACTGTTTATAGCATAGTTTCAATGGAAACAAGGCTCCTGGTTTCCAACCCAAGAGCCTGAAAACGCAGCAACCAAAAGTTCTGCACTGTAGGATGAGATCGAGCAGACACTATGTTGTCAGCCACATGTTAGCAATGAATGACTCCTCGTTTGTGAAAGCAAATGCACTCTGCTCCATCATCCTCATCTCCATCTCTCCCATGGGGTTTTCCCTGGAGAAAACTCCCCAAGGGATGTTGGGGAAACGGTTTCTAAGCCAGCTTTAAGACTTACATTCCATCACCACCTATCAGCATACATGATGTTCAGATAACTGACTTCCCCAACCAAGGTGAAAAACCAGGGCCCAGGTGTTGTATCTATTTCTTGTTCCATTGAGCAACAGGCACAGGATAAGACAGTAATGGTTGGCTGAGTTTAGGACAGAGGCTGGCTGCTCCTGTTTCCAGAGGTCCAAGATAACTAAGAACAACCTACTTGTATCTTTTGTCCAGATGAGGCGTTCTAAGGGAAATTTTAAATCCATTTCCACCCACAGCTCCCAGTTTCACTGTAGAGTCTATGCTTGGGCTATCACCTAGGGGGGAAAAAAAAGCAAATATTGTCATAGTAAACTACAAACATTTTTCCTGATGTTAACGACATGAGGTCCTGTATGTTAATGGGGTTCTAAAAGGTAATCCACTTCACAAATAAAGTAATCTAGAAAATAACCACATCTCAAACTCTTTCCTAAATTTCTGCACCTTTCAGGGTAAGAATTCAAAACTTATTTAAAAACAAGGTTACCACAGCCATGAGCCAGTAGAACTCATAACACAACCACAGAATTCACCAACTCCAGGTTTTTCCAGCACATGAGGAAAGCAACTAGAAAGAGACAGCAGTGGACTGTGGAAGGACAACCAGGTTAGAAACGTAAACACCTAAGTTGAGGTTCTTGCCCCTTTTTGCTCAAGCAAACTTCAAACCCTCTGGCATTCTGTTCCCTCATCTATATACCTGGAAAACCCCACACTGACACAGTTCCTAGGAAAGCTGTGAGAGCAACTGAAAATGTGTGCAATGGTAATGAAAACTGTAAAACATGTGAAGGATGTAATGGGACACTATGTTAATTTCTAGAGTTGAGTACTATTCTTAAAAAACTAACCCTTCAACTTCAATAAAGCAAAAGGAATTGTTCTCCTTAGCCAGAGTAGGATTGAATCTCTGTCCCCCAAAACTCTACAGGTCAATTAAACAGCACAATAATAATGATATTAATTATAAATGTCAAAATTTTTGGAAAACCTAGAGTGAAGGCAACACCAAACTATAACTTACTATAGTTTGTATTTACTATACAACAAACTATAGTTTGCGTAGGAGGGATGTGATTCAGAACATCCTGATAACAGTTTCTGAACATACCACATTTATAGACAGAAATCTGGTTACTGGCATCTAAGACAGCGAGGTCGTTACTCTTTTCAGGGTGTGCCGAGAACATGACCTGATTTACAGAGTGTGGGAGCTGCAGTCGGTAGGTGCACATGGGAGGTGGAACCACACTCTGCCGGAAGACTGTCACCAACACCCTGTCTGGGAGCAAGAGAGAAGGAGGGTTAGACGCACGGATGTTCAATTTGTAAAACAGAGCCCTTTTTAAAAGTCATTGTTGGTGCTTTTATAATGAATAAGCTTAAACACATTGTAGGGAAGAAAAGTAAGAAACTGGGCTCTGTTGGTATCTGCCACTATCAGCCCTCGAAAACAGGCCTGGCTACCTCCAGGCCTCGAGCAGGCCCACCTCTGGGCTTGGAGAGTCAGGTGCCAGGGACTAGGGCAAGCAGACCAAGAGGTCAGAGTTCTAGCTTTAAACCTGGGCCTGCAACCAAGCCAGACTAAACCAAAATCCTTAACGCACACCCCGTGCACGGATCTGGTAGCAAGGCGTATCTGCTTAAGTCCTCTATACAGAACGTGTGACTGCAAAATCAGCATCGTGACTACTACACAGAACATAAATCGGCACACCAACTCACATTACAATCTTAGGAGCAAGCTTTCCTTTATGTCATCAGCAATAAATGAACTGTCTATTCAGGGAATTATGGCTTTCCCCAGTTTCTTCCCCCTCAGTAAAGGAACACCCTCAACCTAATTAAAAAACACCAATCCCATCCTTGAACTAGACAGATGTCATGACCTGAACTGAACACACTGGAAAGGTATATAATTAACAAGCATTTATCAAAAACCAAAACAACGTAGCAAAGTGGTGCAGGGGTCAAGGTAGGTCTATGTCAGGGGACGAAAACAAGGCTGACACAGCAATGCCACAAGCCTACTGCAGTCTTCCTCTTGACCCGAGGTCAGAAACGTCAATGTCTTCAAAGTCCCGACAAGTAAACATGTAAAGGTCAGGGCTGCAGTACAACAGGGAGTTGGGGGAGGAGGGTGGAGAGGAGAGACCATGGTTCTTAGGGGAGTATACGCCTCACCGAAGGGTGTTCCCACTGAATCCAAACCAAAAGCACAAGTAAAAACAAAGCGAACCAGAATAATCAATTGAACAAAAATCCCCCCGTTCCAGTCAAACCACCACATCTGCAGGCCCCGGCCCAGGCCCTGCCTGGGCCCACAGACACCTTTCAGCTCCTTACTTCCATCAATAACAGCCACATTTGCCATGTCACTCAAGCTATCTCCCGCGCTCCGGTCCGTCGTCCAGCGCCAGTCATAGCAGAGGTAATGCCAGCCTTGACAGAGAATATGCAGCCGGTATGGGGTTACCGGGTCCCACATCAGAGACACAATCTTGCTCTTCCCACAGGTGTTGAAGGGCAGACTTTGCTTGAGATACCAGTGATAGTTTCCAACAGTCCAGAGCTGAACTGCAGGGGAAAATGAAACGAAGGCCATCAGAGGCAGAGGGCAGAGGACCAGACTTCGCACCACTTGCTAGAGAGGGATGGGGATGCACTTTTCTTTTTCAAATGACCCTTTCTGCTCAGCCTCTTTGTTAAGATAATAATATTAACAATAACTGTTAAAGCAGGACTTCCCTGGAGGCCCAGTGGCTAAGACTGTGCTCCCGATGCAGGGAGCCCGAGTTTGATGCCTGGTCCAAGAACTAGAGGCCACACGCCACAACCAAGACTTGGCAGAGTCAAATAAATAAAAATAAATATTAAAAGACCAGCGAAGTGAACATAAAAAAACCTGAAAAGTGTAGCTTTTCATGAGGATAAAATGTTAAGCACTGGAATGACCCAGAGGGATGGGATGGGGAGGGACGTGGGAGGGGGGTTCAGGATGGGGAACACATGTAAATCCATGGCTGATTCATGTCAATGTATGGCAAAAACCACTACAATAATGTAAAGTAATTAGCCTCCAACTAATAAAAATAAATGAAAAAATAAATAAAGAGCTCTATGGGAGAGAATGGAAAAAAAAAAAAAAGATGTTAGGCATCAGTAAGGCCAGAAGCACACACGTTCATTTTTGCCTCTACCTTCACACTTTATGATCGTTAGGATGGAAAGCTACCAACATAGGACAGGGCCTTAGTGAGCTGTTTTTTCATAAAGACTTAGAAAGAAAATTTGGCCGTTAAATTAAAATGCCCAACCCAAGAGCACTAGACTAGCATCATTACATTGCATTATGCTTAAGATGTTTATTATTTTCTTCTAGCTGTTTTGCATACAGTTAAATCCACGGGAGATTATATGCAATTACCCTTTGCAACATCTCTTAAAAGAACAAGACGTAAACCTGCAGGGTGCAGGAAGCAGGAAGAAGCTGGTCAAAGAGCATAAACCTTCAGTTCCAAGTCCAGGGATCTAATGTAGTGTGGTGACTACAGTTAATACCACTGTATTATATACTTGAAAGTTGCTCTGAGAGTAAACTTCAGACGGCCTCACCATAACAACAACAAAAAATGATAATTCTATTAAGTGAAGATTGAGTTAATCAAACCTATTGTGGTAAACACTTCAGTGTATATGCATGTATCAAATCATCACATCATACCTCCTGAATGTACTAGTTACATGTCAATTAGATCTCAATAAAGCTGGGGGGAAAAAAAGACTTAATCACGTCACAGCCAACTTTTTATTAAACAGATGATAGCTGTCATAAATGATAGCTCAGTCGGTAAAGAATCTGCCTGCAATACAGGAGACCTGGGTTCGATTCTGCAGTCAGGAAGATCCCCTGGAGAAGGAAATGGCAACCCACTCCAGTATTCTTGCCTGGAGAATCCCATGGACAGAGGAGCCTGGCAGGCTACAGTCCATGGGGTCACAAGAATTGGACATGACAGTGACTAAACCCCCACCACCACCATACATAAATGAATATTTTAATTGTATTAAGGAATTTCTTTTCTTTAAGCATCTCCCTGATCACTAGCTCTTCACTCAGCAATCGCAGCAAATCCAGCCTAGTTCCTGAACCAGGTTATTACAAATACTCCCCCGAGCTCTGGGTTACGTTAGATCACACACTCACGTTCTGTTAGACAGGTGTGGCTCTTCCTGCACAAACACTTGCCCCGTGAGCGTATCACAGGGCCAGCCGTTAACACCTGGTGAATCAGTGGTTCTCAACTCTGGCTGCACCGTAAAAAAAATCACCTGCGAGCTCTTTTTAATAAAATTAAATATCGACATGTCGTCTCCACTGTAACACATTGAAAGCAACTCTGAGATGAGGCCTGGATAGCAACCTTTTTCCTAAAGGTGCAGCCAGGGTCAAGAACTACTGTGATGAATGAATGAATGAACGAACTTCCAAATAACATTTCTGTTAAAGTTCTAGTGATTAAACGCTTTGAAAGCCACTCAGAAAATAAATGAAAAGATTTATGGAAAAAAATGCTCAGCATACTGCTATTGATGACAGTGAAAAATTACAAAACTTTAAATGTCTAACAAAATAGGGTTTAATAAACAGTAGCATAAAGCAATATATAGCAATTTAAAATGATACACATATCTGAAATGGAAATAGTTTGAGATACATTGTAAAAGCAAGCTATAAACCTATAGGTATCATACTTACATATTTAACAAAAATGAGATCATAGCTATACTGAGACATATACATAAAACCTAGGAAGACAAGAAAATTTTAATAATGACTATTATTGAGTGATAGAATTATGGAAGAATTTTTTTCTTCCCATCTTTATTTTCTAATGTTTTTACATTTTACATATATACTGAAAATAATATTTACAATTTGATTTACCATTTAAAATCTATAAAAGATTCTTTTTTATATCTAACCTCATTTCTCTTTCACTTCCACAGTATTCCTTTGGCTAACATTCTGATTTGCTACAGTAATATCATCCATGAAGAAAAAGCAATAATGACTTGGTTATCTGATACGTCAACTTGGCTAGGCTATGGTGTCTAGTTGTTTGATGGAACACTAGTCTAGATGTTGCTGGGATGGTACTCTGCAGATGTGATTAAACTTTCAAATCAGCTGACTTTAAGTACAGCAGATTAGCCTCCATCATGTGGACAGATCTCATCCAAAGAGTTTATGATCTTAAGGACAAAACCTGAGGCTTCCCAGAGAAAAAGGAATTTTGCCCCAAGACTGTAACACAGAATCCTGTCTGAGTTTCCAGATTGTGGGCCTGTCTTATCTCAGATTCTGGACTCAAGACTGCAACATCAACTCTTCACTAATTTTCCAACCAGCCAGCCTACCCCGATTCTATTTCTCTAGGGAATCCTGCCTGATACATAACTGAAATCATCCCATGAAAAGCTCATCACATGAAATCATCCCATGGAAAGTCCATAACCACTCCCTCATCTCCACCTGCCTGCTCAGGTATCTTTGATCCATTTCAGGACTAAGTGGAAGGGACAAAAGAAACTCTACAGCCTACTACTTTCAACTTCACTCTATGGGGCAGAAGCCGAGATATTGGTGCTGTCTTACCGTAGGTTTTCAGAGATGAATTTTCTTCCCTCTGAAGTTCTTCCAACCAAACTGCAAGCACAGTGGAATCTGCATTCCAGAAAAGGCCATTAACCTAATAGGGAAAAAAGACCTGTCATTGGCCTTTAACTATATATTTATCTCGAAATCTTTACAAAAGCTACATTTCCTACTCTCACAAGTCAAATAATTCCACAGTTGAGTTGATCCCTAGCTGTAAATTATTAACCTATGGAGTTATTAAGCAAATCTGTCATCACATGTGGAGGACATTTTAAAAAAATGTATTATGTTTAAGTACTTAATCAAATGCAAGGTGATATTTTTAGACAATCAGGGAACTTTGATTACAAACTAGGTATTAGATAATAGTAATAAATTATTACTAATTTTGCAAGGTGTGATAATGGAATTGTGGTTACATAACGAAAAATGTTCTTAACTGTTAGAGAAAAGAATATTGAAAATAAGATTTCTAGAATTAAAATCCTAGGAAATTTCTACAAAGTGTGTCTGTGTGTGTGTATGTAGGCCAGAGAGTAAATAATAGATGACAATAATTTTGAAAAATGCTGGTATATATCTGATGAAAGTAAGTAATAGGCACATAGGAGTTCATTAAACTCCTCTCAATTTTTATATTTAATTTTTTTTACATAATTAAAAATAATCATGATTTGTTTCTGATCCCACAAAGATCCAAATGGTACACAACCTTCTTAAAGATTAAATGTTATAAGTGACAAGTATCTTTATCACTGGAAGAATTACACTTTTGTCAAAATAAACAATAAAAACTAGCATTTCTATTTCTTTTCTGTGTTTTATCTAGTGTGAGGAAAGAATGCCATTTTTTCCTCTGCAAAACCTCCTTAAGAAAAACAACTTCTGTTTTGCAAAAAAAAAATTCAGTCATAGGAAGCCATTGCTTTTGTTACTAACTATTCTGGGGCTTCTGTTTACACACCCGTATCAGACACAAACTTTCTCTACAACTGTGGACAGTCCTCTATATTTGATGGTGAAAGAACTAAGGCACCTACCTTAACCTCATCTTTGAAGAAAGGAAGTGTAAACTGTCCATGGATAAGTCCATTTTTCTCAAAAAACACAACATCCTGCTGATTGGGTTTATCTTGCGTAGATGCAATCAAACTGCCTGAAGGCCTAAAAGCAAAAGCCCAGAGTGTCAGAACATCCAAAAGTTCACCCAGCTGGTGAAGAACAAGATGAAATTCAAAGAAACAATTTTTTTCTACAAAAACAAGAAGCCTCCACCCAAGGAAGTTTTAAATTCTGTATTTCCTGGCAAGCAGTCACCCTAGTGAGGGACTCAATCTACCCAGAGGAGGCAGTGCCTTTTCCTGATTTGTCCACACAGATTCTATTTGCCCACAAAGCATCAGATTTAGACTGCACTTGGCTGACTTTCGAAAAATACCAATAAACTATTTAAACCATTCCCAGTGTAATGTCCAATAATGCCACAACCTACTTCTCCTTCAATTATGTGTCTTCAGTAATATTCCATGTATTCAGTAATGCTCAGGTAAGCAGTCTTAAAGACTTCTCAATCTACTGAAAAAAGCTTGATCGCTGCATCCTGTTTTTATCTGTCTCTAGAATTTTAATTTAAATACATCTCTCTCTTTGCACTATCATCCAACTGCCACTCAAACAACAGTGGGAAACAGACGTTTAAAACCTAGAGACCTAGGTTTTGCCTATAACAGATGCTTCTGAGACAGAAGCTATTTCTTCTAACTATAATCAGGACAGCCACATATGACAAGAAGGTGTGACCTGCAAAAGGGTACTGAGTCAACAAGTGAATTGGGCCCAAATGCAGCCTGCCCATTCCTCAGCGAACAGGTCCCCTTCGTGTGGGAGCTTGTGCAGAGAATGGAAATCCCTTTCCTAGTCTTCCCCAAAGTGCCACTGCCCCACCGAACTTTGCAGACTGCAAATTCCCTTCTGAGCACCTCCTTCTGTTTTACACAGTGGATTCCTGTAGGCCCTGCCTACAGCAACAAAACGTGTCGGCTTTGCAATGATGAGGTCAGCGAAGCTCAGAATCTACTACTCAAACCACATTCAGACTTCAGAAAACTAAGAAAGATACAGGCTTATAGTCAAATGAGAACAAGTGATTATCCTCTTGTGATTTATAAATACCTACATTCAATAGGTACCACCACCCCACCCTCGTTCTCTCTGGGGAGGAAGTTACAAGACTCCCTCTCCCACTCACTTCCAAGCCAGAGCAGGTCCCAGTCCAGCCACGGGCTCACTGGTTGACTGTAAAGCGAACTCCCGGCTCCACACTCTGACCTTTCGAGCCCCTGTGCAGTAGAAAGAGGGGGAAGAAATGACGATGACAAAACTTGGGAGCACTGTGATAAATGCTGCCAAGTCAGAACTTCCAGACGTCTTCCTTGTTAATAAAAACTGTCATGGTTTTACAAAGCCAACTAGATTAATCTTGCTAAAATGTTGTATCTAATATGTAGGAGGCTGGAAAAACAGCCTCAAAGAACTCTTCTAATGCTTAGTTCTTTATGCATTTAGCACCTTAAGCAGCACATTGTTAGGTCATGTGCAATGAAAGTAAACCCTCGGAACAAAAGAAAGAAAAACTCCCTGAACTAAGTAAGATTTTTTTAAAAGTTTTATTTAACTGCAACTTATTTCCATACCTGTTTCTGGACAAACAACACTCACAGCAAAAAACTGCCCATCGCCACGCCAGGTAACTTGTGGTCTATGGTCATCCCAGGGCAAAGCAGACTCGTGCTAAAGAGAGGGAAAAACACAGATGTTACTGGGGGCCTTAAATGATCTAGAATCTAACCAGTCTCAGGCTATTAAAGTTAAATCTTTTATGTAAGGTTTAAGCTACTTCGAAAATGAGATTCACAGAACCCTCAGGAACCCTTCTGGATGGGCCCTTAGACCCAGAAATCCTCAACCTAAAACAAGACAAAATCCTTCTCTGGGCATTAGAAAGTGGCCTCTAAGCACAGCAACAGAGAAAGAGCTGTAGATCTAGATATTAAAAATATTAAACAAAGGAATCTATCAGGTAACTATATATGGAAATAAATGTTTGTCTAAATTTGAGAGAGTACCATGTTATTTACTGTGTAAGCTTTGCAACAGTGCACAGAAGAATGAAGAAGATGAGAGGAAGGTGGGCAAGGAACAGATAGAGGAGGTAAGCCAGCAGCCATGATGAAAACATGGATAAGCGTCTCGTTCCGCAGCACAGAAGGAAGAAAGGTTTCAAGTGCCACCTGCATCTTAGTCCTGAAAGCCTTGAAGACAGAAGCCAATTCTGTTGGGCTGGGGACCAGTGACCACATAGGCAGCCTTCATCACCTTCCAGTGACAGCTAAGTCAGAATGGTGCTAATGCTACAATCAGCACAGTAGGGAATACACAGCAGCCTAACAAGATTTATTCTCAATGACACTGCCCCGCAGTATAGAATACAAACTTCCTCCAGTGAAGGGCTGAGACAAAGTATGAGTTACATGAAATAACTTATGGATGGGAAATGCAAATGGCAGGCAGTGTATGATTTTCATCTATTCTAGAAGGTCAGCTCACGCAAATCTCCCATGTAGTACAGACAAAAATGCTTCCATTTTATTCCATTCTACAAAAGGCCCATATCCTGGGATGATCCTCAATTCATCTCTCTCTCACCCCATATTTGATCTATTATCAATAAGTCCTGTAGGCTCCATCTTCAAAATGTATCCAGAAAGAAGGAAAACATAAGAATTTCATTCAAGAAGAGAAATCAGGAAAAGAAAAAAAATCTAATATAAACGTATATAGGAAAAGTATAAAAACATACACATGAATTCTCAACAATGAATACAGGAGAGCAGCTCCTTCTAGGGAGGAAGCGGAAGAGTGTCAGGAAGGGATACAGAGTGTTTCATTTCTGTCTGCAATGAATTTTTTTTTTAATAAATACTGGTTGTAATTATTCTGTGAAAAAAAACGACAAACAAACTTAGCAATATGAAAGAAAAAGAGGATCTTTCTCATTCGCTAATGTCTCTAAGCAGCTTATGTCCATGACCACCCTCTACCTGTGAAACAGAGCAGGACCCTTGGTGGTCCTTGCCCCCCACCCCACCCCCGCCACCATGGCCTCAGCTTGCCTTCTGTCCATGGAAAAACTTCAGCTAAACAATAAATTCAATCAGAGAGGTGAGAAAAACGAAGAAACAAAGGAAAACAGCCAAACAAGATTAAATAATAGTAGTTTAGTCATTAAGCATGGTCAAGGACCTTTAATTCCTCAACGGACATAGCTAATTTTCTGAGCCATATCCTGTGAGCTATCTTAGAGATTCTAAAACCCCCCACTGGGTGAAAGAAGTTAACTACATGATGACCGGACGGTAGCCATGACAAAAGTTGCCGCAATTCTGAGAACTGGCCTCAAAGAAACGGGAACAAACTGACCCTAGAACTAAAGATTAACTGTACTTAAAATAATCAAGATGACATGGATCAGACCACCGCGTGACCAATTTCAAGGTGACTGCCAGGGTTGACTTTACTGTTTCTGCATGTAGTCCTGTCACTCAGCCTATAAAAACTCTTGCCCAGTGGATACTCGGGTGGGGCTGGGGGGCAGGGAATGCCAGCCTTTGGAGAGGAGTGCACCCCCTTCCCCTCTCAGTTGTCAGCATCCGGAATAAAGCAAACTTTCCTTTCCACCAACTCTGCCTCTTGATTGGCTTTAGAGCAGCAAGCAGTTGGATCCCTTTCTGTAACATCTGGACACTCAAGAGTTCCTGGTGGGAAGCAGAACTTCTATTTGTTCCAAACAAAGTTCTTTATCCATCAGACCAACCTTACCATTTGCATCTGAAAAGCTGCTTGCCTGCCTTCAGATCCATGGAACTGCGTCTCCTTTCTGCCCCAACCAACAGTGATGAACTTGCCTAGAGAACAATTGAGAGAGAACATGCAAGACCATCAATAAGCTAAATAAAATAAAAGCCGATTCAAGAAGTTGGGTCCTCTGAGACCCCTCAATAAATTGACCAGCAGTCAAGATGTTAAAAACCTATGTTTCACATTATATGCTCAGTGATTTTGAAGACTCTGAAATACTCTTATTTTGGAACATTACTGCCATCATATATAAATTCCCTTGATGACAGTCAGCAATCTACCTCACTTGACAAGAAAGAATAACGAAACGTGAAAAATCTTTGTGATATGTCCATGGATAACAAAAACATAAGAACTAAGAGCCGGGAATAAAATTCCAATTTTAAATGTTCAATTTGCTAAATGTATCCAGCCTCCTTGCTAGTGAGGGAGATCACAGATTATGGAATTCAACTCCTCACAGAGACAGAGACTGAGACCCCCTCAGGGACAGAGGCCAAAATTAGATCACAGGGCTTCTGCCTTCCAAGTTGGGCTTCTTTTTAAATCATAATGCTGAGCTTACTACCTAAAACATAAAGTCAGAGTTGCTGAAATGATGCAGCTCTTCTGTTCCTGGAAGTAGGATCCAGCATCCTCCAGATGGACAGCTATGACAGAGATGTTCTTGAGAGCATCCATCAGATTCAGGACCCAAATACTTCCTCCCTACAACTGATGCTGACTCTGCCGAAGCAGGGCTGCTTATAATTTCTATGAATTATGGGTTGGCACGACTGTTTCCAGTCTGCTCTGCTTGGGCACATCCAAGTATTGTATAGATCACACCGCAGAGCATGCCCTGCTGTTGTATTCAAACAGTAGTGCCTAGCTGGTGCATGTCCCTGGGTTTCTATGCAAAAGTTTCCCGAGAGGTAAAGGGTCTGGAGGGAAGCAGAAAACCTCTTCCAGTGGGGGATCAGATAATAAGTGATGGGACTACCACAGAAATCAGCAAACTATAGCCTCATTACAAATCATTACAGCATCATTACAAATAAACTTGTACCGGAGCACAGCCAAACCCATTTCCTTATGTATTATCTCTGGGTGCTTTCCTACTATGTCGGTGGAGTTGGGCAGCTGCAACAGAGACCATACGGCCTGTAAAGCCGGAAAACATCACTATCCAGCTCTTTACAGAACAAGTTTGACACCTGGGTTAGAAGAAACACATCTATCCACCACTTCACAGAGTGACTTTTTGTACTGACAAATACATTTTTAAGACCCAGGACCCTGACTTGGACTCCTCCTCCTTTGACACACTCTATCAGACTTATGAAAAAGTTGGCAGGATGAACTAGAGAGCACTTTCCCATGCAAAGCTGTGTGCTTCTTACCTCTATGACTGTCCTCAAAGCTGGATGCCCCAGAGTCCCCCCCCCCGGACCCTAGATCCAGCTCCATACCTGCTCCCTGAGCTAGCAAAACTGGAGCTTGTCAACGACTCCCAGCCCACAGCTCCGGCTTCTGCTGAGCATCAGCTCCTTCTAATTTACCTGCTTCACGTGGTGGTCCCATATGACCCTCCAACAAATTCCAAACAGAACTCACCACTCACCTCTCACAGACCACATTTCCCCACCTTTCCTCTCAGGTACTGGCATCTTTATTTTCACAACCTGAGTTTCTGGCGACAGTCCAACTAAACTTTCTCCTTCACCTTACACACCAAAAGCCTATTTATTTCATTCTCTAAACTGGTATTTCTCAAACTAGCTAGGGTAAAAGAGGAACCAGGCATGTATATTCCTAAAATGTTTCTCATAATTCCAAAAAATGTATTCCTATCTTCACTGAGAATCAAAACTTTTCTGCATTTTTCCCCTTTTCTAGTCCCACACCTTCATCTCTCACCTGGGTTCCTGTAGCAGCTTCCTACCAGGTCACCCTGTCTCCAGTCTCTTCCCTCTCAACAATCAATTGTGCATCATCAAAACCTTTCATGACTGATCTCCTATAATTCACTGTCTAAATTCTCTATCAAACTTAATCAAAATCTCTCCCTTTTATTTCATTCCACATCCATATCCTCTCACTAGGCAATGCTGACGTACTCACAGTTGCCTGAACCAGCCAAGACGTGTCAAAGGCTTCTATGAAACATCCTGCCTTGGAAAGAACTGATTCAGTTACTTGGACCGCTCCTACATCCTCAACCCGCATCTACCCAACACCAGATAAGCCAGAGCTCAGCTCAAGTTGGCCTCCTCTGGGAAGTCTTCCCTCTCCATGTCTCCTTTTCTCTCCTTTTGTCACCCTAATACTTGCAATGTTCTATTATTATTGAACCAACGGGATCCCTTAAGGGAAAAGCAGTTTTAGCCACAGTACCTACTCAAACATTATTTCTTTTTTTTTTTTTTTTTCATTTATTTTTATTAGTTGGAGGCTAATTACTTTACAACATTGCAGTGGTTTTTATCATACATTGAAATGAATTAGCCATGGATTTACATGTATTCCCCATCCCGGTCCCCCCTCCCACCTCCCTCTCCACCCGATCCCTCTGGGTCTTCCCAGTGCACCAGGCCCGAGCACTTGTCTCATGCATCCAACCTGGGCTGGTGATCTGTTTCACCCTAGATAATATACATGTTTCGATGCTGTTCTCTTGAAACATCCCACCCTCGCCTTCTCCCACAGAGTCCACAAGTCTGTTCTATACATCTGAGTCTCTTTTTCTGTTTTGCATATAGGGTTATCGTTACCATCTTTCTAAATTCCATATATATGTGTTAGTATACTGTAATGGTCTTTATCTTTCTGGCTTACTTCGCTCTGTATAATGGGCTCCAGTTTCATCCATCTCATTAGAACTGATTCAAATGAATTCTTTTTAATGGCTGAGTAATATTCCATGGTGTATATGTACCACAGCTTCCTCATCCATTCGTCTGCTGATGGGCATCTAGGTTGCTTCCATGTCCTGGCTATTATAAACAGTGCTGCGATGAACATTGGGGTGCACGTGTCTCTTTCAGATCTGGTTTCCTCGGTGTGTATGCCCAGAAGTGGGATTGCTGGGTCATATGGCAGTTCTATTTCCAGCTTTTTAAGAAATCTCCACACTGTTTTCCATAGTGGCTGTACTAATTTGCATTCCCACCAACAGTGTAAGAGGGTTCCCTTTTCTCCACACCCTCTCCAGCATTTATTGCTTGTAGACTTTTGGATAGCAGCCATCCTGACTGGCGTGTAATGGTACCTCATTGTGGTTTTGATTTGCATTTCTCTGATAATGAGTGATGTTGAGCATCTTTTCATGTGTTTGTTAGCCATCTGTATGTCTTCCTTGGAGAAATGTCTGTTTAGTTCTTTGGCCCATTTTCTGATTGGGTCATTTATTTTTCTGGAGTTGAGCTGGAGGAGTTGCTTGTATATTTTTGAGATTAATCCTTTGTCTGTTGCTTCGTTTGCTATTATTTTCTCCCAATCTGAGGGCTGTCTTTTCACCTTGCTTATAGTTTCCTTTGTTGTGCAAAAGCTTTTAAGTTTCATTAGGTCCCATTTGTTTATTTTTGCTTTTGTTTCTAAAATTCTGGGATGTGGGTCATAGAGGATCCTGCTGTGATTCAAACATTATTTCTGAACAAATTATTTTTGAATGAAAAAATGAGCAGCAATTTTCTAAATGATTTCTAAGTTGGTTGAACAAGACTACATGAAGTGAGAACTCAGCAAAAGTTAAAATACCATCGCCCCCATTCCCCTCCTCAATCAAGCCAGCTACCTGGTACCCTCAAGTTGGTCAGAGCTGCTTAGACTCAAGAAGCATCTCCACTCTTCTCTTCAATACTTCCATGGCCTAGTGCCCGTATCACCTCAGCTAGATCTGAGCAAGAAAACAATCTGATGGTTCCCATGACAACTCAGGTCTAATCAATAGGAACAGAAGTCAGCTCTCTACCCACCTCTCTTGTATTTTCCCCCAAACCATGTATCAGAAATGCTCTCCTTATTCCAGCCAGTATAGTCCTTTTCATCAAACCCCATGACTAAGCCTAATCTGGGTTTGGGCAATCACAACCCAACCTATAGGCACAGATTCTTATTTCCCAGGTTACTGACAAAGCCAACTCTCAGACCTGAAGAGCCACCAGAGGAATGCCTTTTAAGAGCTGCAATGAACTGAAGGAACTGGGCTATCAGACACTTAATTAAGTCAGGGTTTAAGCTTCATAGCTCTTTGGGCTTATGACCATCAGTGGCAAGAAAAGTCACAAAATGTTTCAAACAAAAGTTATACTTACTTTCACCAAAATCATCCTGGTGGATCTGCTGTTCCATGATTGGTTCGAAGTCTTTTGTCATCATAATTAGGGTCTGCTGACCTTGAAGGAGCACAAACAAGAATGATTTTGTTCTCATTTAACAAACCTGCCGTTCCGTAAGTATCTACAGCACTGCAAGATACAGAGCTGAAGTGGAAGAGTTTGTAAGCAAAATAGGGAAGACAGAATTCATTCAAAATGTTCTGACTCTCATTACACACACAAAAAAGTTTTGACTGTGTAAGTCACCTGGTGCTTATTCTCAGCTATTTATGTATGTCAAACTGACATAAAAATGCACATAGCCCTTCCTCCTCCACTAACTGCAACTGTTTAGTCACCAAGATACCTCTTCGAGTGTATAGCTTATCAGGATGCTGGTTTACAGAATCTCAGCCAGAACGAAAAGAATTATAGGACAAAAAAAGGACTGGAAGAGCAGTTTTCAGAATCAGTTTATTTTATACAGCAACTCTTCCTCTTAAGAGGATATTAAAACAAACATTGCTGACATTTTTAACTATAACTACAGACTTCGCAGTAACTTTTTAAAACAACGTGTTCACAAGTAAAACTTAACTCAATTGTTTCAAGAAACGTTGTTTTGAAACCTAAGCACCCTAAAACTTAAGTCTTTGAGCTGTTAGGAGTCATGTCTGATAAAGTCACGAGTTAGGGACCGTGACATACTTACCTGCGGCAAGCAGCACCAGCTCTTGGTCAGGACTCCAACTCATGACAGAGATACCACTGGCTACACTTCCGACACATTCCAGCTGAGAGAGACATTGTGAAATGTTAAGAGAAATATGAAAATATAAGCACCTTAATAAATGTTTGTTATGTCCGTAATCAAAATAATCCACAACAAAACACCCCAAGGTGAAATTAAGCAGTAAACATCTTTTCAGTAACAGGTATTAACAGATCAGGCGTGACACAGACCATGGGGACTAGATGTGACGACGGCCACTCCATTCCTCCCATTAAGGAGCTAAAAGGTGCCTCTACAGTGGGGTGAGGGCTGTAACTGAGGTCTCCAGGAATTAAGTGGGGAATTAGAGCAAAGAATGACAAATGGCCCAGGTGAGTTCAGGAAAGCCTCTCTGAGGAGGTGCTTTAAAGGATAGAAACAGGGCTAGGAAGGAGAGACTGGGGGAAAAAATGTGGTGTTAAGGCACAGAATTATAAAAAAGAGCAGTTAAAAATCAGCTGCCACTAAAGCATACAGTATACACATACACAGGAATGATGGGGGTGGGAGGTGAGGCTAAAAAGGAATTTGGCAAATAGATGGTGAACGTCTGATAAGGCACAAGAAGGAATACATGGATTCTGTCTTGCAGACACTGTGATGCCATAAATAGGGAGGATCAGTACCATCTGATGGAGACTCGTGGATTACAGGAGCTCAGTGATTAGGAAAAAATCCCACAAAATGTTTCACAAGTAAAAGCACACCTTTTAAATGTAAGAAATACCAATTTATACTTGGTGGCTTTGATGTTTCTCACCAGGAACTGAGAGGAAGGTTTATCATTGTACTAATGGAACCATTAAAAGCAAAGGTACCAGATTTACACTGCCAGGGTTCAAAGCTCACCTGAAAACTGTTTGACCTTGGCCTAGCCTCAATTTCCTTTCCTGAAGAATGAGAAAACAACTAGCTACTTCACAAGGTTATAGTGAAAAATTAAAAAATTCATGTAATTTTGCATGAAAAATACTTTAAAAGTGCCTGGCAGGAAAAAAAAAAGTGCCTGGCACGCTGTAAAATATTTAATAAATGCCAGCTGTTATTATTATTATCCCATGATTAGTAATATAACTCTCGTGACACATCAGTGTTAAAGAGATCACAGCTAAGGGAGTTATCAATGAAGTTTAAAAAGCTATCAAGGTGAGTAAAGAAATTCAGAAACTCAGCCTTATGCTAGAGTAGAGAAGGAGGCAAGTCGTTGAAATCTATCTCCTCTGATGCTCATAAAATGTGCACAAAATGAAACTGTATCACCTTAGTATCTGTAGTTCAGGGACTCTACAGTCAGTCATCAAAAAGAGGCCTACTCAGCATTCTTAAGAGAAAACATGAGCCATCTAAACATCCCAAAGACTTCCTAAGCTGAAAAATAAGGGTTACAACTCAGGATCGGATTCTAGCAAGAGGTGAGCCATACCACACAAGAATGGCCAGGTTTGAGGTTTTGTTCTTATCTGGAATGCTCTCATTGTTCTAATTAATAAACGCAGCAGACAAAACTGAGTTTAAGAAGAATACTGAAACACAGCTAAAATCATGCCAACAATTTTCTGTACAGAACCGTAAAATGTAAAGACTATAATTTGCAAAATGCCTAAATATTATGGCTCCTGGTATTTTAAACATCTATGAAAAACTATTGACATGATACAAAAAAAGACGTTTGAGGATACTTGAGATTTCCTCCTCCCTGGTCTCCCTCGCTTACCTGGTGTGTGGTGAGATTACAAAGCAGGACATCTCCAGAGGCTGTGGCCACACACACAGACTCCTGATCCAGCAAGTCCTGAATACCAATGATGCAGCCACTTCCATCCTCTGGGAGAAAGCCTTCTGCCACCAAAGGAATTTCATTTTTCACCTTTCACCAAGACAAACAAGCAAATTAAGTCAATCTACTCTCAAGAACAATTCATAACATTTCCAGAAGTAAAACATTTTTTAAATGTTTCTTTTATAATACAAAAGCTTTCAAAAATTTTTCCTAGATTAAAATCCAAACCTTCACTTGAGAAATATCACAACACTATCATCTTTAACAAAGAAAACAGTTAATATGCTTCTTTTGCCAAGCAAACTTAAAAACAAAAACCTGGTCTCTTTGGAGATATCCAATAAAACATGAAGCTAAAAAGTACAATTTTCTAAAATTTACAGAGTCTGGGGAAAAGGGACTAAGAATATCATCACCTAAAATACATTAGTAGCAAAATATAATTAAGGGGAGATATCAGAATCCACCCAAATATCTTCCATCAATAACTTACCTCTCCCGTGACAGGGTCTACCTCTACCAGTCCATGTTCTGAGCCGATGAGCACTGTCCCCTGCTCGGTTCGGAGAGAGAGGCACTGTGGTTTCCCTTGAACCTGAATATCCCTGAACTCCAGGCTCCGAAGTAACTTTAGATTTCTCATGATGAAGCAATGCCTAAAAAATAGTACAAATACCGGTAATGAAGCTTTAATTTATCTGAGAAATAGAAACAGCTTTTTAACGACAAATGACACTCCAGTACAAGCAAAATTATTCAGGGAGCAGAGAAGTCAGAATAACCAGAAAAAAAAAAAAGATTTAATCTGAACCCACAGAGAGTAAGTGATAGCAACCCAACCAATTGTTTAAATCTAGGGTTTACAAAGTGAGGCTGTGAAATCTATTTTACATTCTCACTCTTTGGAAGAGGCAAGATTCTCAACTTTTAGAGTTTTTTCTTCAAAAAAGATTTAACATCAGTTATTTTGTGAGGAAGCTAAGAACACAATGAATGAGAAAACATGTTACTTCTGCACATGAGGATATCTTTGTAACTTGACAGATTTACAAAATTGTATAAAAATCTACATGTATACATACTGGCAGGTGAAGAAAATACAATTACTTTAATATCACCAACTACATTTATAAACTGGCTTTATATCTCAATTAAAAAGTTAAAATTAAAATCAAACTGAAATAAAGAAAAGCAATTACTGCTCTCAGACAGAAAAAACACTACGAAATTACAATAGGATCCTTCAAAACAATGATCAACAATTGGAGGAGTTTGATAACATAATATCACTACTTCACGTAACTCCACTTTTCTGGTCTGGTTTTCACCAGGGCAATAGAAAAGCTGAGAAACGAATGATCAAAGGAAATATACTTTGGTTTGGCAAAATCAGACTTGCTTTAATGCATAACATTATCTAAGAGGGAAAAAAAGGCTTATATGCTAGATATTTATATCCAGACCCCTTTAAGGTTTATAAGTAGAATTCCCTAACTTATGTTGCTGCTGCTGCTGCTGCTAAGTCACTTCAGTCGTGTCCGACTCTGCGACCCCACAGACGGCAGCCCACCAGGCTCCCCCCCGGGCCCTGGGATTCTCCAGGCAAGAACACTGGAGTGGGTTGCCATTTCCTTCTCCATAACTTACGTTAGGAGTGACAATTACACGGACTACACTGGCATAACTGTCACCTTAATCCAAGGTGAATTCTCTCATCTTGCATTTTGTACATATGACAACGAAAGAATAAACACAAGACATTTCTTATACTACATAGCAGATTAAGCGCAGTTTGAATGAGGCAACATAAAATGTGAGTTCAGAGGAAGGCAAGACCACATGGTAGAAGTGAGGAGCAGAATCAAGGCAGACAATGGTTTTGTAAGCTTTCATGACATATTTAAGAAATTCTGGGAATTATTTGAACCTGAATTCTACCATGCAGACTTTTTAGATCTAATCCTGTATAGAAAGCTTGGGTTTTTTTAAAGCATATAGAAATTACATTATTTTTCATCTAAAGACACCACAAAGATGACCACTGACAGTTTGAAAGGAAGATCTGAGATGAGAGAATGTCTGGGCGAGAGGCGGGTAAACAAGGAACAGCAAGAGATGAAAACAGGCGACAGAGGATGAGATGTATTTCAAGCTGGTTTCAGTTCAGTTCAGTCACTCAGTCATGTCCGACTCTTTGTGACCCCATGAATCACAGCACGCCAGGCTTCCCTGTCCATCACCAACTCCCGGAGTTTACTCAAACTCATGCCCATTGAGTCGGAGATGCCATCCAGCCATCTCATCCTCTGTCGTCCCCTTCTCCTCCTGCCCCCAATCCCTCCCAGCATCAGGGTCTTTTCCAATGAGCCAACTCTTCACATCAGGTGGCCAAAGTATTGGAGTTTCAGCTTCAGCATCAGTCCATCCAATGAACACCCAGGACTGATCTCCTTTAGGATGGACTGGTTGAATCTCCTTGCAGTTCAAGGGACTTTCAAGAGTCCTCTCCAACACCACAGTTCAAAAGCATCAATTTTTCGGCGCTCAGCTTTCTTCACAGTCCAACTCTCACATCCATACATGACCATTGGGAAAACCATAGCCCTGACAGACAGACCTTTGTTGGCAAAGCAAGCTGGTTTAGCTAATAATAATTATGCTGTTATTGTTGCCATGATAAGATCATAAAAATGTCTTTCTGTAAACTTGCATTCTATTCATCAATAACCTCTAGACCCCAGCATAATAATTTGGAAGGTAAAGGCACAAGGAACTGAGGACTCCCTTTTTCCTGTAACCTTGCTGTTCCAGTCAATGTTGCCCCAGCAATGGACCTTCCTCCTTCCAGGGGCCCCTGGTCCCAGTCTCCAGCACTCCCAGGACCAGCCTGGTGACAACCACCCCAGAGGTACCAGCACTAAGCAGACAGGTGCCCCTCCAGGTGCTGACATCTACCAACATGGAGCTCCTCCTCTGAATTCCGGAGTTATCTACACCAACTTTACAATGTCCCTCCTTTAAGGTTAAGTCACGATAACCCCAATGGCTTCCCTTGTTCTGATCCTCAGATCTAGCTAAGTGTTGTAACTTCTTCCATCAGTTTACTTTTTAGTTATTTCACTGCTCCTTTCTGCTTTTTGTTCTCCCAGGAACTACTTAACCACTTCTTCCTATTAAATTCTGTTGAAATACAGTCTGTTTTCTGCTTTCCTGACTAGACCCTAACTGACAGACATAGCAAACAAACTGAGTTCTCAAATCACTGAGCCAATCAATATCACCAGCCAAGGGCAGCTCACCATTCATCCCCCTTCTCCCCAATCCTCCCAGCCTTAAAATGAACTTCTCTACATTTTCACACCCATTATCTTTATTCCTTTATCTTCTCAGAAGTGTTCTATTTCTTTTCAAGACCAGGAAAGGAGAATCCTCCAAACTTCCCAGGACCTTGGCTTATCAGCCCCCCGCTTTTTTTACATCTGCAATCTCCAACTTCCCTGCCCTCAATTCATCCTTTCTCAGCCCACTAATGTGCTAAAGATCTCACCACACCACAGATCAATCCTGGATCCTCCATGCAATTCTGACAATGCCTCTATTTTCTTCCTTTGCTCCTCATCCATTCACCTCTTATCTAACTATCATGTCCATGACCATAAGTACCAAACAGATCATTAATGTTTATTAGATCTAAATGTTTAGCCCTGACCTTCCCCAAAATGAACACTAAACTCACATTTTCAACCTCCTACTGCTAGGATTTCTCAAATGCAAGCCTGTTAAATGGCTTACTATTCTTGACCAAATTAGTTTCCCCGCTGGGGACATGGCATTTCTACTTTCTCTGTCCTTCAAGTTGTAAGTGTTTGCTTTCCTTTTGCCCACACTTTCATAACAAACTATTCACTGGTTACAGCCCTGACTGTCAATGAATGGTTTGAATCCTTTACACAGTATGTAACCCTACCATCGGCTACATCAAACACTGCCTGAGCATTTGATAAGTGCTAATTCTGGACAAGAAATGACTACAGTCACTGCCTCCACAGAGGTCACAGGGTTAACAGGGGAGAGGGGCCACCTGGGAGAGCATATAACATGGAGAAGCACAGGGACGACATTTCCAAGAAAAAGTCGCAGGTGCCAAAAGGGGCTCACAACACATCATCTGAACTTCTCCGCCCAGCTCTCTCTCAAGTGCATTGTTAGGCTTTAATTGGTGCATTAACTGGCTCAGCTGTATTGTCCGCCCCTGAAAGGAATCGGAGCTTGCGTAGTGTGCGGCTGGGGGAGCAGCAGGTATTCCCCGCCTGCCACGCCGCGTGGAGCCCTCTGATGGCCGCGGGTGCAGCAGGTGGTAAGTCGGCAGACACACAACTCAAAGCTCGAGGGCAGAGGTGGTCCCGCCGCACTTCACTCTGGGGCCTGCAGCAGGCAGCGACAAAGCGCTCGGGGAATCTCTTCATCGGGACACCCTCTGGAGGACAGGGCCCGTCTCTGTGCCACCCCACCTAGGCCGCTTGAGCGCTCACCTGCGCCGCACTCCTAGGACCCCCCAAAGAGCTGTGCGTCCACCGTGGGTCGCGCACTCGCCTCTGTCCGCTGCTCTTGAGCTCGCGCGGCGTGCACTGGGTCACCGTGCCGCTCGACCCCCTCCGGTAGTGGCTGAAGCGGGGCCTCGGAGAGGCTAGCCGCGGGACCCTGACGAGCGAGCGACACCAACCACGACCCCAGCCGAGCTGCGCGGGAGTGACGTCACGAGGAGGAGGGGGCGTGGCCAGCTTTCTCCGGGGCCCTGCGAAGTATGGTGAGGAGCTGCGCTGGCCACCGGCCCCTACGCTACGTCTTCCTGTCCAGCCTATTGTATTTGACTTCTGCTTTGACGTCAGATGCCAAAGTTCAATGGTTGGCGTCGGTAGGCGGAGCCTGCGGGAAACGGAGGAGCTGCGCGCCTGCGCACACCGCGTGTCTCGGGCCACAAGCCGGAAAGACGACCTACTCCTGGGCCCGCCGGAGGAAGTGTCCAGGTCCCGGAGGGCGGGGTTTGCAGCCTTGGATGTCGCCATGACTACCGAGCCCGAGGACCCTGTGGCCCCCTTGGCTGCCGAGCCCGCGGTGCCGTCGCTTGTGGATCGTTACTTTACTCGCTGGTACAAAGCGGGTAAGTGGGGGAATGATGTTCTTCTCTCCTGGGCCCCATTGGCACTATGATGATAGATCATAAGCCACGCTCACTCTCCCCACAGCAGAAGGAACTGGATCTCTGTTCCGCTCTAGGCCAAGGGAATGGTATTTGCAGAGACGTGGAAAAACAGCAGGGTGCATTCTGGGGAGGGTGAGTGCACTGCGAGTTCAGGAGGGTGCGTTGCTTGGGGGTGATAGTCTAAGATGAGATCTCCGAGGGAGGTTGGAACTGGATTTCAATCTCCTTAAGTATCTAAAGGGTTTTAAGGGACTCATAAAATGCTCCATAAAATGATTAAAACAATCAGGTCGAAACTAAGGTAGAGGCATAGGGAATGAGAAAAGAGGGTGGGTTAGAAAGAGGCATTTAGATAGCAGATGCTTCGAACTGTGGTGCTGGAGAAGACTCTTGAGAGTCCCTTGGACAGCAGAATCAAACCAGCCAATCCTAAAGGAAATCAGCTCCGAATGTTCATTGGAAGGACTGATGCTGAAACTCCAATACTTTGGCCACCTGATGCAAAGAGCCAACTCATTGGAAAAGACCCTGATGCTGGAAAAGATTGAGGTCAGGAGGAGAAGGGGGGGAGGGGTGGGTCACAGGATGAGGTGGTTGGATGGCATCACCAACTCAACGGACATGAGTTTGAGCAAACACTCGGAGATAGTGAAGGACAGGGAAGCCTGGTGTGCTGCAGTCCATGGAGTGGCAAAGAGTCGGACACAACTGAGTTACTGAACAAGAAAGCAGAATCTATTACACTTCACCACTCCCTGGTGGCTCAGTGGTAAAGAATCTGCCTACAATGCAGGAGACCCCAGGTTCCATCCCTGGGTGGGGAACATCCCCTGGAGAGGGGAATGGCAACCCACTCCAGTATTCTTGCCTGGAAAATCCCATGGACAGAAGAGCCTGGTGGGCTACAGTCCATGGGGTCGCAAAGAGTCAGACACGACTGAGCGACTAACACACTCTTACAAGTAGGTATCCTATTGGAGAACTTTGTATACCTTCAAATAAGAGTGATGGGAGCATCATTGGGGACCCTTCTCCACATCCTTGCTTATATTCATTCAGGGATAATAGGTGTAATCATTTTATGCAATACTGAAATATTGTATAATAGCATGTGTCTTACTGGCCAAACTTTGTGTAACCAACCATCAGGTTTATCCTAGATTGAGGGACTTCCTGGAATGCATGACTTTCAGTACTAACATCAGGACAGTCCTGGGCAAACCAGGGTGAGTTACTCACTAAAACTGACCAAGAAAACATGTGCTACTATATCATATTAAAAAGATGCATCACTAACCATTTTTTTTCTAATAGAAACGACAAGTGTAATCATTTTACAGTAAGGATAAAACAAGATGGAGCAAAGAATTAACATCACTTTGACACTGAATGAATGATTCCATCTGGTCCAGATTTCTTTAACTTCTTTTTAGGAAGCCTTTAGGTATATCTTTTTGAGTAATGAGGCGATACCAGTGACATATGTATCTAGTCTTCACAATTAACTATCTTTATGAACCAAAGAAAGTACCACACAGTGGCAGTAAAAACTGACTCAACAGCCATAGACTCATTTATTTCTTCTAGATGTCAAAGGAAAACCCAGTGAAGACCACTGTATACTACAGCACTCTAACCGGTAAGCAAATTAGAAATTTTAAATTATCAAAAAAAATTTTTTTTTGGTATTATAGCCCTGGTATGGTCTTATATTGAATATTCACTAAATGATTATCTTCCACTGTGTTGAGATGGTATTATATATACAATAGGCATTTGGTTGACAAGAATAAGTTTTTCTTTTCTTTTTTTTTTAAGAATGAGTTTTTCAATGCTTACACTAAACAAGTAAACTTGATTATTCAGACATCCAAATGGAGGACCATACCCTTAGTCAGCTACTACCTCAAGTAACCAGCCTGTGCCTATCCATGGAATTGCCTGAGCCCATGGAGAGGGCCAGGGTGGAAACAGATGTACATATGGGTGTGCCTCAGTGCTATCTAAATGCCTTGGTACTCTTCCCTTTCAGGGGAAGGAAAGTCAATCCCATTTTCTCCATATTTATTATTGTATTCTTCAGTTAAGCTCCAGTAGTAGCTGGGGAAAAAAAGTGCAGGGGGATGGGGAGGGAATGATAGGTTGAGTAAACAAATGTCAGCTCAGCTATTCTTGTGCCAGTAGGCATACTATATTATAGGAGGAAGAATTGTACCATACAATAATACAGGATCAATTTTTGCTCCTCGTAGAATATGTGTCATCACGTTAGCAGGATCTCATCCAGTTCTTCAAAGTGGAAAAACAATTAAAAGCATTTCTTATCAAATCAGTACCAACTGTAGCAGACTTCAGAACAAAGTCTCTGGGAAATTTAAGCGGGTATGTACCTGTATTTCTTTACTGAAATCCTCTATTATCATAATAATGATAGAGCCAGTCAGTCTTATAACCAGCAATATATACTCAGCATACTTCCCTGGTAGTTAGAGATGATTTTAAGAATCATCTTTAACTTTTAACTCTAAAAGAAATTCTCAGGCCAAAAAGATAAGGTATTTCAAAAGGTATATTATCTGTCATATAGGTTCTGTACCACCATCCCTACCATCCCCAGGATAAAGGATAGAGAAAGCGGGCCTTTGAAAAAACAACTCTAGTACCAATATAAGAAGATATATTGTCCCTTCTAATTTTATTGAGCCAGTATGTCAAATTTTATAAAACCTAGGTGATCAATTCTTTTTTGTCACATATTTTCATATGTGAATTTAAAAGACAAAAAAGAAGTTCTGGAGTAGTGAAAAAAAATCAGTCTTAAGAAAATACACAGTATTTGCTTCATATCATGTCCCATTCCTAAATCATTGCCAGTTTAGTACACATCTAGCTATACCTTGTTCCTCCAAATAGTGTTCAGTTATAGAAAAATGTTACCTCTATCCTCTACAACTCTATGCAAGACCAGTACTATTAATATTAAAGGAGGGTATCACACCAAGGACAATTCAATACCATCATACAAAGCCCCCGGATAGGAAAATTTCAGTGGATGACTTCAGTTCAGTTCAGTTCAGTTCAATCGCTCAGTCATGTCTGACTCTTTGTGACCCCATGGACTGCAGCACGCCAGGCCTCCCTGTCCATCACCATCTCCCGGAGTTTACTCAAACTCATGTCCATTGAGTCGGTGATGCCATCCAACCATCTCATCCTCTGTCGTCCCCTTCTCCTCCTGCCCTCAATCTTGCCCAGCATCAAGGTCTTTTCAAATGAGTCAGTTTTTTGCATCAGGTGGCTGATGTATCGAAGTTTCAGCTTCAACATCAGTCCTTCCAATGAACATTCAGGACTGATTGCTTTAGGATGGACTGGTTGGATCTCCTTGCAGTCCAAGGGACTCTCAAGAGTCTTCTCCAACACCACAGTTCAAAAGCATCAATTCTTCAGCGCTCAGCTTTCTTTATAGTCCAACTCTCACATCCATACGTGACTATTGGAAAAACCCTAGTCTTGACTAGATGGACCTTTGTTGGCAAAGTAATGTCTCTGCTTTTTAATATGCTGTCTAGGTTGGTCATAACTTTTCTTCTAAGGAGTATCTTTTTATTTCATGGCTGCAGTCACCATCTGCAGTGATTTTCATTTACTGAGTTCATACAAAGAGCTTCTGCTAATTACCCTCACTGTTCTATAAGACCCTTGTTTATACTAGGCCTAAAGGCCTCTAATAACCTGCCTTCTAATTATTGGTTCCCCCCTCCTCATTCAAGAAGAAAATGGACTTTAAAAGGTATGGACCATTCTTTGAAGTCTACAAACTACAAGTAACAGTTAGTGCTTGTGATGTTCCTGTGATAAATCTTTGTCCAAAACAGTAACACCCTTGTTACTACTAGGAACAGAGAGGAACCTGCATATGGAACCCTCTGTAGATAAACTGACTGGATCTCAGCACTGCTCATCATTTATTCTCCTAAGGGAGGTGACAACAAGGGATTAAAACACTTCTTTTTGACACAGACCCAGTGGTAGAGAAACCGTCTAGGATGAACCCTTAACTGCTTCTCCCAAAAGTGGGGAGTCACATGGACTACTATTTTGAAACAAAATCACCACATGTAAGAGAAGTGAAGGGAAGGTGCTGACACCTGCATACTGCCTAATTAATATTGTTTGAGTGGTGACGAGGCCCTAAAGAACAGCATCTAGACCTCAAATGTTCACTGCAGTAAAAATTCCTGGAAGAAAAGAGCAACACATGAGAGATGCTTCCATCCGTTTCCTATGAGCCTTCTTGTAGGTATTTGTCAGAACCTCCCCAGATACATCTGTTCAGTGGAGTACATGAAACTAAAACCGTGCCGTGACATTCAGACAGATGACATTCAGTCAAAATGTAGTATTCCCTAGTGAGAGACAGGGTAAGGAGTTAATTACTCTTAACTGCTACTTAAAACTTTTCTGTTTTCCACATTTTCCTTAGAGTGCAGTTTTTTAAAATTAGAAAAAAGATCCCTCTTCAAAAAGCCTCAGTGATTGGCCCTAATGAAGTCCTTTTATCTATTAAAGTTCTAATATAAAAATAAGTGGGAATCTTAAACTTTGTATGACATTGCTGTTGTTTGCTATAATACTGGATTTTATATTGTTTATTGATAAGATTTCCCTTCCCTTTTGATATCTTTATACTTGGGTATATGGAGGTTTCTCATATACAGTTAAATATAAAGTATAATAAGATAAAATATATTAATACATAACTAAACTATTATCACATGTGTTTTTGACTGCTTTTTCCCCTAAAGCTTAGGATGTTACCTGACCCGTAGCAAGCATTTGATATATAAATGTGTGAAGAAATGAATGTTTTTTTCTGTACTTTACTCATTTTTACTTAAAACACAAATTCCAGGAATATATGCTATTGTAACACTGAGGGCTGCCTCTCAAAGAAAAGTGAAAATGTTCATCAATTAATTTTTCTTCCTTTTTATTATCAGGGGGCACAGTTTCTCACAGAACTTGCACCACTGTGTAAGATTTACTGCTCAGATGGAGAAGAATATACCATATCTAGGTAAGTTACTTTTGAACCAGAGCTTTGGAGAAGCACAGGAGGTGATATTTTTCTTCAAAACAATTGTTTTTTTTTTAACTAGCTGTGTTAGAGGACGGTTGATGGAAGTGAATGAAAACATTCTCCATAAACCATCTATTCTTCAAGAGAAGGTAAGAGGGGCTGGGGAAGTACGAGCCCATCCTGTACTTTTTATCTGATTTTTTAATCATTCATCAGCATTAAACATTGTTTCCCTTCTAGCCATCTACCGAAGGCTACATTGCAGTTGTGTTGCCCAAATTTGAAGAAAGTAGAAGCATAACAGAAGGGTTATTGACACAAAAGGAGTATGAAGAAGTTGTGCTGAAACGCCTCAAAGCCACAACAGCTACCTCACAAGGGGCGAGGACTGAGGTGGAATAAAAGCACCATAGCATCTTTGTCTTTACCCGGCCTGCCAGTCCATGCACCAGGGAAGAACCAGCACGGGTGAAGCCGACTTCACACCCGCCATCCGCAGGGAGGTTTTTTTTTTTCCCTTTAGTAAAGATTTTCTCATCATTTTTAATGGGAAACAACTAAAATCTCATGGAAACAGTCCGGTAGGGAAATTTTTACTATTGAGTTTTCAAATCATATATTTTTTTCTTCAAAATCAGAATATATTATTTTGATGTCTCACAGGTAGGTCCTGATATAGATTTGATCTGCCTGTAGATAATACAGAGGACTAATAATAGAGAATTTAGATACAAATTCAGCAGCACCTTTCCTTAGTTCTCTAGTTATACTCCTGTCCAACTCCCGCCACATCTTGGTCAAGTAAGTCTCTAAGCTGTCATCTGAATGGTGTGGAATTGAGGGAGAAAATCCTATGTTTGCTCTTCAAATAATATTTGCATTGAACCCTGAAGTAGGACTGAAATTTCCAACAGAAGAGAGCTCCAAACTGGCGTGCTGCCAGGAGTGCTGAGTAAAGATCTGTTCTGCTGCTTCTCCACCTCGTTTGGTGCTGATCTCTGCCAGCCTCTCATTAGTCTTGTCTCGTTTCTTTTCCAGTGACTTTCTAACTTTTAGTTCCTCTAGGTAGTGTTGCTTATATTTTTCCAACGCTGCTTTATTAGAATCTTGAAAAGCTTTCATCTTGGAGAGTTCAGATCCCAAGTCTTTAATTCTGAGTTCCATCTGACTTCTTATGGAAGCAATATGCTCCTCTTGGAACTGCTGTAAATTTCCTTCAGATGCTGCTTGTATCCCTCCGGCTGCTCCTCGCCGGCCCGGCTCACTGCTCACCCGCCGCCCTCGCCCCACTGCGCCGGGCCGGGCTGCCCGCTCTCACAGCCCCCGACGCCGGCACGCAGAGGCCCGATCTTAAACCTGACCAAGTCTTCCTTCTTTGTCTTGCCTAACAAGCCTCAATTCTGTCTTCAGCCTCCCAGATCTGACTGCCCCGTGCTCACTGTTCTTCTCTTGCTTTTAGCTTTCTAACAACTGGCAAGCAAGAGATGTTTTTCTGGTTAAAACCAACAAACAAAGCATTTTGAGGAAAAATTTACTCATCATCCTGTAGCCCACTAATAACTACTATGTTTTGACATAATTGTTTGAATGTTATGGCATGGTAATTGTTTTTGCCTCAATTGTACGTCATTTTGAAGCTGAAAAACAACTAGCCTTTCTTCCCCAACCTGCTTCAGTGTGACACCACCGAAATGTCTGAGCTCACTTAGGTTGCCAAGAAGAGGCAAGGGTGTGTAGTTTGCCTTCTCTGTTCTACAGGTTGGCCTTCAGCTCTGAACAATGTAGCATGTAACGCTGGCTTCTTAATGCGGGACACATGAAAAGGCTTTGCAAGGGGCTTTGATAACATGGAAGTATTACCATGTGGTGTTAAGTAACACGTGTATTTGTGGTCACTCAATCTCACACTTCAGTTACAAGATAACCAGTGAAGAAGTTCCTATAATTCAAAGACACGGATGCCTCTGAACAGAAAAAAAGCTTTCATATTTAAAGAAACAAAAATCTATGAATTTATGGTTTAAGATGATATATTCACAATGAATTTCAAATAGAAGGGCTTTTTAAATTGTTATTTTTCCTTAAGGGCTGCAACGCATACAAACATACAAATACTTGTTTTTAAATAAAAGTTATTGATGTGTAAATTCTGTTGGACTATCATCTTTTGCTGTTCAAGTTGTAAGTTATCCCTTTCCCACCCCCACTTGCATTCTGAACTGGATGTGAAACAATGGACTGGTTCAAAATTGGGAAAGGAGTACCTCAAGGCTGTATATTGTCACTCTGCTTATTTAACTTATATGCAGAGTACATCATGCGAAATGCTGGGCCGGATGAAACACAAGCTGGAAGCAAGATTGCTGGGAAAAATATCAGTAACCTCAGATATGCAGATAACACCACCCTTATGGCAGAAAGTGAAGAGGAACTAAAAAGCCTCTTGATGAAGGTGAAAGAGGAGAGTGAAAAAGTTGGCTTAAAACCCAGCGTTCAAAAAACTTAAGATCATGGCATCTGGTCCCATCACTTCGTGGCAAATAGATGGTGAAAAAATGGAACAGTGACAGACTTTCTTTTCTTGGGCTCCAAAATCATTGTGGACAGTGATTCCCGCCATGAAATTAAAAGACACTTGCTCCTTGGAAGAAAAACTATGACAAATCTAGACAGCATATTAAAAAGCGGAGACATCACTTTGCTGTCCAAGGTCCTCATATAGTCAAAGCTATGGTTTTTCCAGTAATCACGTACGGATGTGAGACTTGGACCATAAAGAAACGGTGGTACTGGAGAAGACTCTTGAGAGTCCGTTGGACAGCAAGGAGATCAAACCAGTCAATCCTAAAGGAAATCAACCCTGAATATTCATTGTAAGAACTGATGCTGAAACTCCAACACTTTGGCTACCTGATAGGAAGAGCCAACTCAAAGGAAAAGACCTTGATGCTGGGAAAGACTGAGGGCAGCAGGAGAAGGGGATGACAGGATGAGATGGTTGGATGGCTTCATTGACTCAGTAGACATGAGTTTGAGCAAACTCTGGGAGACAGTGAAGGACAGGGAAGCCTGGCATGCTGTGGTCAATGGGGTCACAAAGTTGGACATGACTTAGCAGATGAACAATTCTCATTTCAAGTATAGAAGCTCTTTTGTGAATAAAGTTTTTAAATTATTTTTGATTTATAAGGAAAATTGTTTAAAGTGCCAGCCTGACTGTCCCCTAAGTATACCCACCAGACATGATACAAGTAGTAGCTCTGAACCTCTGCTCCAGTGTACAGTAAGCTAAAAGCGTAAGCATAAACCAGCAAATCCCCATTTCATGTAGCACAAATGATTCCCAGAGATGTCATAAAACAAAGATATGAAAGATAGTAAACGAATTATATGTCTGTTTTACATATACTGTTACCTCACAGCATTCTCCCATTATTTCCACTGTAATTTAAAAGAATATTTTGGTTTCAGGGAATAACTATCATGTTTGGTGATTTTTATAAAGAAATATTGATAAAGGTCATAATGAAACTGACTGCATCCCATTTTCTCCCGAAGGCCTACAGTAAATTCAAGTTTCCTTCAGTAAAATACTGACTAGCTAGGTGGTAGTTCTGTGGTTCTTCAGGATCTGGCACATATTCATTATGAGGGCTGAACCAGATAATTATCAGACAAGCCTATAGAAATCCTGCCTTTTGGCAACTGGCATGTCCTGTTAGATTTCAAACTGAATTTCAAAGCACCGTGATAAAAGAACAGAAAAACAAAATTAACAATACAGCATCAGGACAGAACTTATAAACTGATCCTACAAGCCCACCCCACAAAAACAAAAGCTTTGAACCCTAAAATTAAAAAGACTAAAGATGTTTATTTGTTTTATAATGAACATTCCAAAGGCACATATATAAAATGTATGTTTACTCAGAATTTAAACAGCTTAGTTCAATTATTCTGTCTTCTATCTTACATTCCATCAGTCACTACTGAGAAGTACAAAAACTACTTCTGAAGCCAGTAACATAGGCTTAGGCTTTCAACTAATATTCAGGGCAGAAACAGGCCAGCTATGCTAGAAGGAGAACTACAACCACTTACTTCCTAGTGAGCCAGGACTCTGTGGCGTGAGCTCCATGATCCTGCTTTTGGGAAGGGAGAGGAGCGGGACATGCATCACAACAGACTGCCTGTGCTCTGAAACCCTAGAGGACAAACATGTGCTCTTAGGATGGATGACCTGTGCCAGGACAGCAGAGACCCAGTCATCCTCAGTGGACAGGAGGCACTGAAGAAGAGCCCCCAGACCTAAGGAAAACCCTGCATCACCGAGACGACTGTATCTTCTGCTGCAAATTAGTGTCCTAGATGAGAAGTTTAAATTTTATAAAACAGAAAGTTAAGGTAAAATACGCCATCAGCATATACTCAAAAGAGCTTCTTTGGATTAAACTGTCATTAAGACCGTTGGGATATTTGGTTTGACTTAACATTATTCAAGGCAATGTCCCATTTTAAAATCACCCTGCAATTAGAAATAACAGCAACTATCATGGCATTTATTAGTTGTCAGAAAGCTTCACAATCAGTTTCATGATCAGAAAATAAAGCAAGATTTCAGTTTTTCTCTGCAAAATTGGTGAGTTTCTGAAACATAAAGGATCATTTGCTTTCTAAAATGGTCAGTGTTGCCACATGGTGTTCCCAAGATCTGACCTCAAAAGTTTCTCAAATTTTACCATCCACAGTTGTAACTCAGGCCCATCTGTTGTTTTCCATCTAAAGCTGGAAAGAATTGAGATTTAATTAGTTTCTGCTTTACTCTTAAAATAAAAATTGCAAAATTAAACAGTATTTTCTTTTGCATTTTCATTTACAATAATTTTTAAAAATATGAGTTTAAGACAGAGAAATCATCTCACCTTCTTCAACAGTTTATAGCAAAGTGAGAGAAGCTGAACCAAAACAGCCATCATGGACCTTGCCTTTGTAATACACTTATCAACCTATAATGACAGAAAGCAAGCAGATCAAATTCTTACCAGGGGGCCTTCAAAAGACTTTATCACTTAAAATTTCGCCATTATAGAAATCTAAGGGATCTCAAAGGGTGTATAGATTAAGGCATCTGAACTGACTTGATGAATTGAGGCCCCAGAACACAGAAGCTGCAATTGCTGCTGAAGTCCCGTGCCAGTTTCATGGAACCTCAGGAAGAATGAATGGAAAATCAGCCTGCTCTGTTTCAGACCACTTGGGGATCTCTCAGTGTGCACCAAACAGTGGCAGTGAACCCCTAACTTGCAATCCCTTGCACTCGACTTTGCTGCACACAAACTTCCTAAGATAAACAACAGAGGCCTTTCTCTCTAAAGGGTCTGTGCCCTAGACAGGTGATGACGATGAGATTTAGGAGCAGCTGCTCAGTGCTATCGGAGAGGGCAATGGCACCCCGACTCTTGCCTGGAAAATCCCATGGGCGGAGGAGCCTGGTGGGCTGCAGTCCATGGGGTCCCTAAGAGTCGGACATGACTGAGCGTCTTCACTTTCACTTTTCACTTCCATGCATTGGAGAAGGAAATGGCAACCCACTCCAGTACTCTTGCCTGGAGAATCCTGTTGGGTTGCTGTCTATGGGGTCGCCCAAAGTCAGACACGACTGACGTGACTTAGCAGCTTAGCAGCAGCAGCTCAGCACTATGGCATTAATCATGTCCAAAAAGCTAATTTATCTGGTGAACCTACTGCTCCCTGAGGTCAGTTATAACTGTAGATGATAAATGCTTCTTGCAGTTGAGGCAGGAAAAATGGAAATAAATTGTACTTTGGGTATTAACACTTTATTTGAAGAAAGAGGCTGGAAGCTAACCTAATTTAAAAAAAGGAGTGTGAAAGTTTCTCAAGTACCTTCCTGCATATCCCACTGTCCCTTTTACCTTTAGAAACACTTGATTCTGCAAAGGTGTCTTAATTATTGTCTGGAGTTGGTGGCAGAGAGGAACAAACTTGTTTATTTCCAGGAGAAGCATAAGTTTGTCATCATCTTTCAGCTGAAATGTAAATATGGCAGTTGTAACAATTCCAATGAAACTCCATCTTTTAAACATCAAATACCTTTATACCTTAATAATACACTCTCAAAATGAGTATTTACGACATCACTGCAGGACCAGGCACGGGGATATGTGAATTACCTGTTTTGAGAAAGCCTGTACACTCGACGCAAGCTTCAAACCCTCTTCAGCAAAAACCTGGTAGAGAGGAAAAACGTCACTACTTTAGGTGCATATCTTCTAGGTAGTTGGTAACAAGTACACTCGTAGGTAATTTTCATGTGGAATTTTAAGACTAAAACCAAAACATTAAAAACACGTGTCATGGAACTCCTAAGGTTTCTGCTGTACCCAGGAAAACACAACAGTTCAACTCTGTCCACAAGCAGATTTCCCAGCCCTGATGCAAACTTATCCCTGCAGAAGCTCCTCTCCATGTGGCCACCTCCAGTTACCATGGAAGATCACGCGATACTTGGAAAAATTATGTCTGGGTTTCTAGATGGATCTGAAGTTCATCCCATTATATCCCCAATTATAAAAGGTGATGAATTTTGGAACATGAGGTCAAAAGCATTAGAACATTGGTTTCTGCTTCTGGCTTAGCAAGAGAGAATCTGTCACCCATACATGTTCTTCAAGCACCCATCTAAGGGGACCAATTCAGATTAATTTTTCACTATTGACCACACATTTTACAATTTATTAGTAACAAGAATAGGATGATAGGAAAGAATGCTGGAAAATACTTCAGAATATTCTGGATGATTATTTTTAAATGGTACATAGACTCTTTTAGAGTGAGATAACAGGAAAATGAAGACATGGCTTTAGGTGGCAGCAGTAAGAGTAAAAAGAACTTGGTAAATTTTGAGAATGATCTTTGAAAAAAAATAGATCTTGATAATAAATTAAGATAAAGCATATGAAGAAGGAGAAAATCATTTCAGGGTTAACTTTAACCCTCTTTCCAACAGCCTTGCTGTCATAGGATAAACTGATCTCAGGGTCAAATAGCCCTTTACATCCTTCGTTAGCCTTTAAAAGGGAAGCCAATGTGTTTCACACCAACCTTCTAACCTAATGGAATGACTC